TAACTATAAAGTGTTGAATTCTGGCTTTGCTTATTTACACACCGTGAATATATCGTCCTCTGATGGTGTGCATGTGTCCACATCAGAAGCACCCCTGTCTCCAGCTGCTTCATCCAACCTGAAAATAAATTAATTTTGAGGTTAATGTGTATCAACTTTCAACTCATTCTAGACAGACCAACATTTTTCTACTTGACATCTTAAAATTTCATACTAACTTCTGAGAAAATCAAAAGATTGAGAGCACACATGATATTTCATTTCAACATAAACAGATTTTTCGCCAGATTTACTCAAAATAAGTTAAAAAAAATTGTTGTACTGATGAACAGTCATAAATATTATTCATACACGGAGCAGAAACATCCAGCATTGTGTTATAATGTAAATAAAAAAACACAACAGGGTAATTAAATATTGTTTTACAAAATGTATTGTGGTCTGACAATGTTGTCATATTTAGTATGATACATGAAAAATGTTAGACTTACAGAGGTGTTGGAAACAAACAGAAAACGGGTTCATTTGGTTATTTTCGTTCTTTTAGAAACTGAGGATCAAGTCAAATTTAGACTTACATTGAATGAGAAGAATCCTGTTTGAATTTGAAAGGAAGATCCATGGATGTATCACTTTTTATGGATAAACCAGACACAGACTTTGGTGGTGTCTTCTCACCAGGAATCAGATGTGCTGGTCTTCTGCAGGAAACATACAGAAAACAGGTTCATTTGGCTATTTTCCTTCTTTTAGAAACTAAGGATCAAGTCAAATCTAGACTTACATTGAATGAGAAGACTCCTGTTTGAATTTGAAAGGAAGATCCATGGATGTATCACTTTTTACGGATAAACCAGACACGGACTCTGGTGGTGTCCTCTCACCAGTAATCAGAGGTGTTGGTCTTCTGCAGGAAACAGACAGAAAACTTGTTCATTTGCTTATTTTCCTTCTTTTAGAAACTGAGGATTTTAATAAATCAAGTTCCTCTTAGCTGAATGTTAATGTTAGGCAGAGTAATATAACATCTTCTTTCAAAAGGTGTTTTACTCCTGTGAGGTTGTCACATTTAGTATGATACATGAAATAAAATTTTGACTTACACTGAATTGGAAGAATCCTGTTTGAATTTAAAAGGAAGATCCATGGATGTATAACTTTTTATGGATAAACCAGACACAGACTCTGGTGGTTTTCTCTCACCAGGAATAGGAGGTGCTGGCTTTCTGCAGGAAACAAACAGAAAACAGGTTCAATTGGTTATTTTCATTCTTTAAAAAATTGAGGATTTTAATGCATCATCTTCCTCTGAGCTGAATGTTTATGTTAGGCAGAGTAACAAAACATTGTCTTTGAAAAATGTGTTCTACTCCAGCAATATGGTTACATGAGTATAATACATGCAGTATTAACAACTGCCTGTTCATTCTTTTTGTCCAGTTTTATTTAGAACTTTGCCTCTTACTTCTTAACCTTTTTCCCATCATGGTCTCCATCCTGAGGCTTGTTGGAGGGTTCTTCTTTTCCCCCAGAGTCACTCATGGCTGTGTCCACACCTTTATACAAACATACTAAGCATACTTCATTAATCACATCAGCAATTTACAGTAATCTTGCAAACTGTGGGAAAAGGTGAAACTAAACTGTGTGTGACATTGGATTGATTTATTCCCCTGTGAATTTCTCCCATCATTCACATGAGGATTGTTCTGTGTTGTAAAATGGGTTCCTTAAATTTACAGATGTGATGACGCTCCAGGAAGGACTCCACTGACACAGATGTAGCTGAACAAAGTAGCTTTTTGTTTTCTACTGGACTTCTGTCATGACTTTCTTAACAAATTAGTTTTCTTGGTTCTATTCTCCATTTCCCCTTTGGGCCTTGCATTTTGATCCTTCCAGATTATGCAGTGTGAAAGCTCCTTTAACCCTCCTGTTATGTTGCGGGTCAAATTGACCCGTTTTAAAGTTTGAAGATCTGGGAAAAATAGTTAACAGTATTTTTTCAGTATGAAACTTCTTCTGCTTGCCTTAAATAGTGTAATCAACATATAATATGAAAATGGTTCATCTCACATATTTGCAACCCCCCCCTGCATGTTTATATCACATAGATACTGTTCGGGTCAATTTGACCCAGCAGTCAAACTGGAGGTAAAATGGTGTCAGAAATGTCAGACTATTTCTTTTTTTGCAACTGTGAGACATGTTTAACCCCGATCTCACACTCACACACACACACCTATACACACACACACACACATATACACTCACACACACACACACACACACACACATACACACACACAGAGGAGGATGTGTCTGAAGATGAAGACTATCTTGAGCTAAATTCTGATTCTAATGATTATGATTTTGAACCTGATGATGGAATTGCTATTCCTATTCCTCCAAGCATGACATTCGTGTCAAAAAATGGTGAAATACAGTGGTCTTCATCCCAAAATATGTATCAGGCAAAACTGTCTGCAGAAAACATGATAAAGACAGTGCCAGGGCCCACTAAGATGGCAGTGACTCATGTGACTGACATCAAGTCAGCTTTTGAGCTGGTCATGCCAGATTCAATTCAGATAATCATTTTGGAACTGACTAATCTTGAAGGGAGGCGCGTTTTTGGGGAGAAGTGGAAGGAGCTGGACAAAACACATTTAGGTGCGTATTTGGGGCTCCTCATCCTGACTGGGGTCTGTAAGTCGAAGGATGAATCGACAGCCAGTCTGTGGGATGCAGAGACAGGCAGGGCTATATTTCGAGCCACAATTTCTATGGAGACTTTTCACATTCTCTCCGGAGTAATCCGATTTGATAATCAAGAGACAAGGGCTGGTAGACGGGAGAGAGACAAGCTGGCAGCTATTAGGACAGTGTGGAACAAGTGGGTAGAGCAACGTCCACTACTCTATAACCCAGGCCCTAATGTCACAGTGGATGAAAGGCTGGAGGCATTCAGAGGTCGCTGCCCATTTAGGCAATACATGCCTTCCAAACCAGCTAAATATGGGCAGCATATGAAGCAAACACCAGCTATGCATTGAACATGCAGGTTTACACTGGAAAGCCGGTTGGAGGAGCCCCACAGAAGAATCAGGACACAAGTGTTGTGCTCGATATGGCACAGGGTCTCAGGGGACAGAACATAACCTGTGACCATTTTTTCACAAACTACAACTTAGGTCAGGAGCTTCTAAAGAGAAAGCTCACAATGGTCGGAACTGTCCGAAAGAACAGGGCTGATCTCCCTGCTGAGCTACTGGTAATCAAGGACAGGGCCCCTCAATCTTAAATTAAGTTTCAATGTTGTGTAGAACTATTGTGTTTTATGTGTTGGTCTTTTAAAAGTAATAAAGTGGTGAAACATTAAAAAAAAGTTTGAACATGTAGGTTTTTAAAAAAAAAAAACGAATGAATTATCATAATTGGATCATTACCTGTTAGAGGTAAGGAACACCATTGCACTGAATATTGATAGAATAGTTAGTAATGGAGTTTGTAATGAAATATAAAAAATGCTTGTTAGGATTTTTTTGGTTTCAGACATCTTTTGGATAATTAAACATGCACCGGGTCAATTTGACCCGGGAACAGCATTGCTGTTCCTAAAAAATGAACATAACAGGAGGGTTAAACCTCTTCATTACCAAGAGTGTGTTGTTTTTTAACTTGTATGTTTTCTTAAATTCAGGCCGTACCTTTGTTTAACCTTCCTCGTCGTTCTTCCAGTATGTTTATCTTTTGTTAGTCTTATTTGAGTTTTTCCATAGTTTAGTTATGTTGTTTTGTTTGTTTTTTGTAAATATATTAGCATTGTAATGTATTGAGTGTGTCTTTATGCGAACATTTATAGGTATGCGGGCTCGCTTAAGACTTAGTTTTAATTAAGCCTGCTCTAATTGTCTTTGAAATACTGTACTGTAATTCTAATACATTTCAGAACCCATAGCGTACACATTGTGTCTATTTTCCGTCTATTTTTTCTGGCTTCGCGGCAGCTTAAGTGTCGTGTTACTTTCACTTTCTCAAAATCTGAATCCCCTCAATTTAAACTTCAATTTCTGGAAAAAATAACCTCTCCCTCATTTACACAAACAGTTTTTTAAGAAACCCAAACTTGATACGAGCAAAAGAACTATGACTTACTTCTGTTTTTATCTTAAATGTTGAGGCTGAAGTTCAAGTCGTCGGGACAAAAAACAACTGCGTCATCAGACTGCCAGACTACGCCCTTAAAGGAACAGCTTTCAAACCGCCAGTGTAAGTAACACATGTATAGAAATATATATTTCACTTTTGGCTTAAGAGCCAAAACGAAAGAGCTAAAATATTCTTAACGCTTTCTTAGCTTGACAGATTTTTTAAAGGTTAACTTCCCGGTGGTTTGCAGTCTTTTCATTGGGTTTACTACTTTGAATTAATATTTAATTTCTCAGCGTTCACTTCCTATTTTCTCGGCCCGCCATTTTGTTTACAGTTTTGTTTAAAACAGTGAATGGCCCAGTATTCCTCATTCCTCGCATTACAAACTTCTCTATACTGACGGAGCAAGATCATTAAGGATTTAGTTCGGTAGCATTTAAGACACCTTTGACAACTTGTAAAATTGGGCAAAAGTGCAAAATATGCTATATACGTAAACAAATATTTGTTTACCTCACGTATGTCCACGCGAAAGGTATTCAAAGTGCTGTTCAAAATGCGCTGTTTCCCAGGATTTATGCCCATTAAGTCCCACGCCGTTTTCCTTGTTTGTTTTTGCAATAAATACAAATTAAAACAGGACTTTCATCCATCTACATCTGCATCTCTCAACAATTATAAACCTCTTTGTTGTGAGTGCAGTGAAGAATATGATGCTCAAGTGGAAGTTAATGGACATGACATCAATATTTTTATATTCCTTCAAATATTATGCTTCTGTCCAACGCCTTCCGTCATTTTCTTCTTTCTTCAGACAGCTTTTATATTATGATAAAGAATCTTCATCATGTAATAATTGTTTTTATTCTTTCACCAAGTCCATTCTCATCATTGGTTTCCACTTTTCATCTTACAAAGTAAATAAAAAATCACATTCAATACATGTTAGGATAAAAAGGAAGTATAATCGATAAATGATTTTATCAATTTACGGTAGTAAATGTTATTCTGGACACCACAAACTAACATGATGACTCTGGTAGTAAAAAGGCTATGCACATGAGTGGTTAAAATATTTTCCATTACACAGGCAGTCAGGTGCTTGTCAGTGGTATATCCACATGTTACCATATACTTATTAGTTTGTTACTCCAAAAATAACTCAAATGAAAACTAATTTAAAAACAGGGAAAAATACCCTGCTAAAATGGAATGTGACATTTGGACCAAAGTAAACAAAAAGTGAATGCCATCAATTAGAACATTTTTAAATCTTTGCTGTATTCTTGCTGATGAATGTTGTCCGATTTATATGCTCATGGTGACCTGGATAAACTGGAGAGACACAGAAAACAATGTTCAGCGTTATTAGGCAACAGAGGTGAGCTGTCAGGACCCCTCAGAGAGAACCTGATGTACTCTGAAATCAATCCAAAACAGCTACCGTTTCATTATTATCTCACAAATTCCTGATTGTGATCATCAAAAGATGATCACAGTTTGGCTCTGTAAATATAGTAAAATACCACCTTCACAACTTTGAATGACAAAGTGAAAAGTACAGGAAAACCAAAGATGGTAGGTAGTAAAAGTGGCCTTGATGGCTTGTTGATCATTGAGCATTGGGCCATCCTGGTGAATCCACTAGAACTCATAAAACATATTGAATAACTTCTTTAGAGGATGGAGACAAATCACATTAAGAGCTCCAGGAGGTGGAAGCTAACCCTGCACTGCACATGCTGGTCTGACTAGAACTGTACGCTTTTCACTGTGTATAATATTTCAGGAGATGACTGCTTGCTCGGCTTAGACTCTAATCATGTAGTATAAAAGTAATCATGTAGTATAAAAGTGGTGTTTGGATGAACAAAGTAAATTAGTCGCTGTGAAGACTTACATCATCGTACTGAAATGAGGCATTTCCAGATTGGGCCGTGTCCCTCCTGCGGAACTGATCTAAAAGACACAAAACACTGAGCTGTTACACCAATTTCAAGACCGGCGTTGGCCAATAAGGCGAAGGTTCATTCTGCTGTGATGAAATAAGAGTTGGAAGGTTGATTTGTGACACACTGATGCAAACATTTAAGTGAAAGGCCACTCAGCTATCATGGAGACGGTCCTCGCTCGTACACACATTCTGTAAGTGGACAACCTGAGTTATAAATGACCATCGAAAGAAGGCAGACTGGTTAAAGGAAGCTGACCCAGAAAACTTACTGACTGCTTTTCAGTGTGCTGCTAAGCTGCATTTACACATTTCATTCAGTGATATCAGCTTTCCACTCAGCGGCCTACCGGTCAGGGCGCGGAGTCTCACGGAGCAGCTCACAAATTCATCAAAGGGGATTCTGCCATGAATGCTGTATCGCCTCAAGATGCAGTTCATGGCCTGCGGGGTCAAATTGTAACCTGCACAAACACACACAAGTGTTCAAACAACAAGTAAAGCCCCATCAGTGAACACGTCTGTTTTGTACTCAAAAGCATGAACAAACAAATCAACAACGGCTCCTGTTTTTTGTTTTTTATCTAAATACCCATAGATGTGATGGCCTGCTGGAGCTCATGGCCCTCTACTGTCCCACTGCCGTCCCGGTCAAAGGAGGTGAAAGTCATCTTCCAGCCGTTCAGGGCCTGCCACAGATCCCTGAACTCATTAAAGCCCATTGTCCCGGACATGTCGCGCTAAGAAAGCAGTCAAGGAACTCTCCATCCTTATTCTTCACTTAAAATGAGACATACCATGTCAGAATCTACTACATTAAAGATGTAAAATTAAGATACTGGGAAGCCTTTGTTTTATAACTTCAACAATAAGGGCTACAATCTTTCTCTCTACAGTTTTGTAGCAGCCAGGCTGCTTTTAACTGTGAGCTACTCCATCCCCTCTCAGATTGTTCTCAAATGGCCCCACAAATGTGGCACTTCACTCCAGCAGATCAGGACATACTGCCTCATTTTTTTACCACAACTGTTTTATCTGCATTTAGTGTTGAGGCTCATTAGTAGAAAGCTTCTTTCTGGTAATTCTGTAACTATTTTTAACATCTGGTACGGCGTCTGATACGACATCACATTTTGACGTACTGCCGGCAGGAAGTTGCATATTTCCTAACAAATCTTGGGGTTTTCCTGCACTCCTCTTTGTACAGACCTACATTTCTTATAAGGGGTTGAAAGGCTAAAGTTCTTGAGATCTTTCATAACTAAAAACCTCACTTTTCAATCAGACTTTTTATGAGGGGAAATGAAGTTCCATTAGATCATTGAAGTGAAGGATACATCCAGCATGTTGATCATCAGTTTGCACGTGTCCAGACTGAAGGCTGCAGAGGGACACACACACTTACACACAAGTCAAGACAATTCTCATACAAACACAGAAAAATCCAGAGTTATTTTTTTTTCCATTTCTTACGTTGATAGGAGCCAGAGATGCCCGACTGGGTGAGACAACGCTGCAGCTCGTCTGCTGAGATCTGTCCATCCTGTTTCACAAAAGAGAAGGAAGGACAACTCACAGCACAGTCCAAAAGGTGCCAGTTATTACACAAATTTTCAATACCACAAGCTTTGAGGAGTTCACCAAGTGATGCGCTACATTAACTAAATTAACTACATTTGTAGCTTTAACGTTTAATGCGTTGTCTCACCTGTCCGGCAACTGCAGAAAAATACCCGTACAGAGGATCCTGTTGCTGAGAGTCAAAAAAGAAAAGTGTTAAAGAAAGGCTGAGGTAGGTTCTCAGAATATAACTCAGATATAACTTTAGTTCACACATGATAACAGAACCTATTGGAGTGCCAGATTATGGAGCTCTATGGGAACGATTAACAAAGATAAGTATTGATGACACAAATCTCTGATAAAGTATTACTTTGCATGATTTTTTTTTAAACCTTAGTTTCATCATGAAATCAAACTTGTATTCGTATGAAAAGCTGTAATTATTTTTGCTTCTTTTTCAGAGTTTTTAAAAATTCTTTTCAACCCAAGACAACAAGTATTTACAGAGGAAAAACTTGTCAACTCATCACTTAAGTAAAACTTTAATGTCTAAACATGAGAATTTATAAAAAATAGATCATCCAAATTTCTTATTTCTAATTTCTACATTGTGATGATGGGTTAGACGTTACTAATCTGTAAACTACTTGGTTGGTTATTAGATGACCCTGTTGACCACTGAAAATGATTCAGCGGATTATCAGGCGTACCTGTTTGTAGGTGTCATAAAGACATACTCCACCTACTCCACCTTACCTCAACCCCCAAATCTTACAGTACCAAACAGTAAATATGAATTCAGCACTATAAACTGCAAAACATGAGTGCAAAATCAGAGAAGAGTTTTAAGTTTATAAACATGACTGTGTATCTACTAGAGTCCTACAAAACCTACTAAATGTGCTGTCTCTGAACAATCACGATAAACATTAGAGCCTAATTTACTTGGTTGCGTTTTTTTTATAATAATGGTTCTAAAGTTGTGAAACCTGTTAACAATGGTTTCTTTTGGGTTAAACGACCACAACTGTAAAACATTGTGCGTTTGCAGTCATTCATTACTTGCACTAATAATTAATATTCCTCCAAAACTACCAGGATTCTCACGGTGAAAAACTTTATTCACACAATCATTCAAAGCAAACAAGCTTCTTTCTCCAAATAACTCCCTATTTCCGATTTAACTTGTTTGAAAACAGCCCCTGAACGTTACTGTACATCTTTGACTTTGACAGTTTGTCTTGCATGGTCTACTTCCGTATTGTTTGGACAATGTTCCAACGCAAACCCAGAAACGCATTATTTCGGATTGTTTTCTGTTTTAAACGCATCTTTTGCAGTTTCCTACCATTCCTGGCATTCCAGGGACTCCGCCCGGCGGGGCGCCGTATCCAGGATAAGCCATTTGATTAGTGATTCAAAACCGGAAAAAAAACAGAGGGCTTAAGTCCAAACGTGGCTTTAATCAACCAAACCAATTAAACCGGTGATGTAGAAGTAGCCTGGATCTTAGACGGACGGAGGTAGAATCACTGGGTTATCAAATGTCCCATTTCCCGTATCTAGCTTTCAACCCTCGATTCTGATTGGACGAGAGAGAGCATGTGACCTTAAGTCAGACGGCTACGGCTGCAAAGTTCAAACCATTGGTGCAACTGCTAAAGCAATCAATTAAGGAAAAAACACTTTTTTTATTTATGAATGAGTACTGATTGAAAATATTGTTTAAACATAATCTATTATAGAGCACATTTGACTTTGATAAATTCAAGTGAACCAAGAAGCTTTTACATAAAAATATGTTTAAATGTATTTGGTCATGGTACTCCAGATGTGCAAATGATTCAGAATGCACCACAGTTTAGACAAACAAAAGATTGTTCTAAATACCACCACACATTTACAAAAGAGATTACGAAGATCTTGATTCTGCTCTTTGACCCTTGCTTCTTTTTACACACTGTGTCATAAAGATAACAGAACTTTTGTTCAATTTATCATGAAAATGTTAATCGAAGAGCCTTTTCATCTCTATGACCTTGAGTTACCAAAAAATATTGATAGAATAAAAGTTATATTGAGCGTATATTAAGAGGAAGTTTTGCAAAATTTGTTTAAAACACAAAATGTTGATAGTTTGAATGTTTGAATAAACATATTTGCATGAACTATTATATTACAACTATTATAATTATAGTAAATATTCAAATTCTGAGCTACTTGACAATTTGAATTCTCCATATGGGAAATTAAAGTGTTTTTTTATTTCTATGAATATTAGGTTATGCAGATATTCATTCATTCCCCTTTTTCTTCTTTGCTTGAGTTCGAGGCAGAGAAAAATGCAGAAATGATCCTTTAATGGAAATCATGACATCAGTGGCTTAGGAAGCACGTCCAATCGGTGTCCTCTCTGATGTGACACATGCAGTCATTCCTTCTGTGCACCCCCCCAGTAAAAACAACACCCAATTTCAGGCTCAATTCCATTTTAGAGACAAGGCTGAAAGGGAGCAGTCACACATTTCTCACAACACAATCGTGGAGAGAACTGGACAAAGATTAAGCTGCAATGTACAGAGTCAAACCCAACTGTTGGAGTTGGTCACCTGGACCTCCTGGAGGTCTCATTTCTCAAAATTCAAGGAGAGGTGCTTCAGACGTGCTGAGAAACCAACAAGAAGAAGAGGAAGGAGTAGATGATTTTCCTCCTGTCTGCCACCACACTATGGGTAAGGATAAGATTATGTAAGATGATACAAGATGATACATGATGTTACAAGAAAAGGTATGATAACAACAATGCGTGTGGATAAAAAAAATACTTGATTAAATTACTTTTTTAGATCAGCAGTTTATTTTCATATTTGATGCTATTAATTGTGTGCTATAAATACATATCATTGATGATGGAAAAAAATGTCATTTTACTCACTAGTTTATTTTCTTGGCCATCTTAATATTTTATCAGATTCTGCACATTACTGAAAGCAAATATATAGTGCCTATACATTGGTAATCCAGTCAACACTGCAAGATGCAAAATCTCTGTTCTTTTAGCTGCTTGAGTTGTTTTATACTTCTGTTTACATTTAAATCCAGTGTGAGTCAAAGCAGATCCCATCATTTGTTGACTCTGGACATGCCCCTCTTAACGTACAGTGAGACTGGAAATACGTACTTTTTATCTACTTGGAATAAGAATACTTAGAAATCTCATACAACTGGAGTGACTTAGTTTTAAATGCATTGAATATCACTGACATGTCCTGATGCTCCCTGTATAGTGCAGGTATTTTTGTTTGTGCCCTGAAACCATACTTTCCCTGCTGTGTGAGCATGCGTATTCCGTGTGTACATTTGTGCCAGGTAGAGGTGGGGACCGATGATTTCTGTCCAAGCCCAGCAGGTTTCCTCAGTGCCCAAAGAAAACAGATGGCTCAGACATATGATTCAGTGGAAATGAGTGACTCTCAGTATTACCCACTTTGCATTATGCAAAGTGGCGATTGGACTGATCAAAATCTTATTATCATTTATTCTGTAGATTTCTTTTTGCTTCGCAGTTTTTCTACATGTTGAATGGGGCACTGCCTTATAAGCATTTACATTGTCTCACTTTTTCTCTTTTACTTTCAGTTTGTGATGACATCATGATCCAGGCTGCAGATGCTCAGTGGCTCACCTGTGATCCTGTTGGCTCACTGATCCCACCCACATTTGGCCAGGCTGAACTTGATCAAGGTGTTCATTCACTGGAATATCCAGCAACAGTGATCGAAGCCGATCAGGGAGAAACACTGCAGTGTTTCGTTCAGAGTTCTTGCTGGGAAAGTCCAAGAATGGAAATCCACAGACGTGTAGGTTCTTATAGGGAGAGAAAACCAGGAGATTTGGACCCCTGCTGCACAGCATCTCCACTGATGTATTATGGAGGTGGGTGTAATTCAGTTTAAGGTACATTTTTGTCCAACAAGGGAACTAAAAGATACAATTTAGTTCAAGTAAATCGTAAACCAGTTCAAGGTGATACGATCATTATTCAACCATTAACATTTATACCAATTCAAATGAGTCCAATTCAGTGTGCTTTTTTGACCAAAATATTTAATGATTTGTATGCTTAAGAATATTGATAATCTAGTGTAAATCCCGTTAGAATGATTCTATAAGTATAATCTAATCCATCCAGGCAGTGATTTAAGACACTTCAAGCCACTAACGCTGATATCATATAAATTCGAAACTATAGCAAAGATACTTTTAGTCGAAATGCAAATTTAGGTTGCATTTCAAGATAAGGTGAATGGTTTCACAGTCAAAAAACAACACACACAATATTTACCTTTGCTGTGTCTGTGGCACCATCTATCTTTTGAGGCATTAACTCAGACAAAAAAAAAAAGTTAATTTACTCTTCATTACAATAATTTTTCATGAGTAAACCAATCAATCACCTTTTATAAAAACAAATGTTTGTCCAACATTGCAGTGACGAGGAACATAGTGGTAGGGGTGGAAGTCGTGGAGGAGGTTGCTGTTGAAGACACTCTGGAAGTAATGTATGCACCATATGAAATTTCACTGTCAAATTAATGATGATCACACCACTACTTAAGATTTCAGCTTAACCACTGTCTGTTTTTATTTCTGATTAAATCTAAGACTTTCATTCTAATTACTATAAACACGACAATACATGCATGATTTTTTAAAAAAAATATGGTTCTTCTTTTCTCTTTGCAGAACAGAGGATGTTTATGGTGATGGTCTGATGGATCTCGAGGTTTTACAGGATGAGCAACTTTTCCCCACATGAACCCTGACTTGATTGTCATGTTCTGGTTTATGCACTGTAACAACATGTGATATGCAAATATTAATCTGATTACTTTGTTGGTTATTACATTCTATTCTGTATTCATTGTGCCTGTGATCAATCACCATCAATAAAAATGATCTATGTCTAACTGCTGTTGTATAATATAATATAATATAATATAATATAATATAATATAATATAATATAATATAATATAATATAATATAATATAATATAATATAATATAATACAATATAATACAGCGAAACTTAAACCATACTACAACTACAAGCATGCATTGCTTCCCGTCGCCTATTATTGTCCTGGATACGTCATCACTTCGCGCACAAAATGGCGTATCTCGGTGCAGTGCCAATTCATCGCCGGTAATTTAGTAACAAACGTTGTTGTTTTGGATTCAAACGCAACCATGTCGGATTCAACGGAGTCGCAGGTGGTCCAGGAACGTCTGGACCGTCTGCAGGAGCTGACCGAATTTACTGAGAAGTGCAAAAAACAGCTTCATGACATTTTTGAAACGCTGGGATGGTCGTTGGACTACAAGGCTTCCAACCAGGTGATAGCTTGAAGATAATTGCAATACATTTGAGCTGTTTTCTTTATCAAAACAAGTGAGAACCTGAAATGTGTGGTTGAAACCCAAATATTACTCTTTTTTTAAGAGCCGTTGTTAATTAATGATGGACGTGAACCACTATATTAAATTATATTATAAGGATCGATCGTCTGTCTGCTTTTTTTCCCGCTGTGTCGATATTCAAGTTTCAGACTTTAATTTCAACGTGAATTTTTGTCCATCTGCTTATTATATATTTTCACACGGCTATGGCCAAATAGAGAAAGGACCTTTAGATTAATGCATGCCAAACGAAGAATTTGTTACACTGAGATTATTTATTTTTAAGATAAACCCTTATATATTGTGAGCAGTATTAATAGATATTGATATTTGCTTTCTTTCGGTGCATACTCAGGAACCAATGGAGCAGTGTCCCTATGACCCTGGCCACAGAGTCCCTGCGAGGACAATGGAGAAGCACAAAACCTCCTGCAGGCTTCGGAAAATGGGCTACTCAGTGGAGGAACAGGTAAATACTCATTACTCATTAAGATAATCCAAGCATAGGCAGCAGCTTGAAAGATGTCAGACAAAAATATTAAGATTGTTGTTTTTTCTATTTGTTTCCTAACAAAACAGCAAAGAAAATAAACTGAAACAACTGTTTTTAAATGCCACAAAGTTCATTGTTACTATTTTGCAGGCAGAGATGTCCGATACCTCTGTGTGTTATGAGAACAGCAGCGTAAAAACCTTCACAATGGGTGAGTCATTATAAGGATTTATCAGCTATTCCAAAATTGGTTTTGGATTTAGTCCTTTACATAGTCTCCTCATGTGGAGGGTTAAACACAGTTTTGGAGATTTGCCTCAGATGCATCTTTTGTTTTATCTGTTTAAATGTTTGAAAAAAAAAAACATTTCTCTCATGGATTTTTAGATAAATCCACCCAGCACCAGGTGATCTTACAGGCCCGATCTGCGGCGCCGCTGATGAAGATGGAGGGGGTTTTCTGGCAAGGTATCAGCTCACAGTCGCTCCCACCCTGAACAAGATGCATGCCTGCAGCTGTCTTTATGCTCCAAACCAGACGGCCCTAGTAGAGGTCACTCGGCTGTTTAACTAATCAACGTGTTGCAGATCTCAACAACACTAGACATGTTTTTGAATTAGGGATGTGTACCTTTTTTATTTGGTGCATCTTTCCTTCTGCTGTGAGGTTGTGTAACCGGTGTGTTGTGTGTTCTGTCCACAGCAACAGGGGTGAGTATTAGAGAGGAGATGGGCTCTAGAAAGTCCTGCTGCTGTGGTTCAGGCTTGCCTGATTACGTGCAGTATCCTTTTAATGCCATATCCTTTCAAACCACAGCGCTGGGCTGCGGGACTCACACATGCACATAAATGCACTTTTCCCCTTTACGTGCTGGGGAAAAGCTTGTCCATGCATGCAGACTGTCAGTCTTTGGAGTTTTACTGTAACCACTAAAAAGTCCTCCTTAAAGGATTCCACTTGTAATGTAATGTAAGGATTACTTAGCAGATTCCCTTATTAGTGATTTTTGATCAAACTGGAAAAAAACCTATACATTCCAAAAGAATAAGTCAGTGAAAAAGTCTTGAGGCTTGATATCCAATGAATGTCTCAGTTTGTCTTTTCATAAGACCCTTGACAGCTTTACTGCAGGACTGAAGGTTGTGGTTAAATTTAGCATAAGCACACATCAAATTGTCAATCCACTTCTTCTTTATTTTTATGCAATGAATCTGTTTAGCTGCAACTGTTCATTTTTCTTTGTACTGAGCTCATGAATCAAAGCACTTCTGAAAGGTAATGAGCAAGTCCTGGAGATCGATACCGTCCGGCATTGTGTCACAGAGCTGTTCTCAGAACTACATCCCCGGGTGTCTTTAGATATGTGGAACAAAGCAGATGGGCCACATGAGTGTCTGTCGTCTGTCTGTGTAAAACCTCTGTGCTTGTTCACCAGGTCAGTACTCCGGCCAGCCCGTCGACGTGCCTCAGAACCACAAGCGAGCCGTGTGTGACCTCACCGTCGCAGACCGCTTGGCTCTTTACAAGCACGTGATCAGCCTCAACCAACAGAAGGAAGCGGCGTCAACCAGCAACGAGGATCTTTATGTAGACTTAGTGTCTAAACTAAAAAAAAGTACGATTAACGCACTAGAAGTAGTCCCTCGCGAATAGTTTGCAGTAGAAAGACAAAAGACGGGTTATATTCGCCATAAGTGGAGCAGAGGCTCATGCGTTTGTGTTCAGATGAGGAACAAAATGAGCCCAAGAGCCACCTGGAGCTGATGGCAGAGATGAGGGACTACAAGAGGCGGCGCCAGTCCTACCGAGCCAAAAATGTGCACATCACCAAGAAATCCTACACAGAGGTAAATTCCTGGTTCCTTTAAGGATTCCACTTGCATTGACCTTAAATGATGTTCTATAAGAAGCTTCATCTGGATTTTTACTGCCCTAAAACCTAATCAGATTACATCATTAGACATTTTCAGGTTTTCGGCATAAAGTTTGAGAAATCAGTATCTGATACTGCAAATATGCCGTCTTTTAAAGTGTTTGTTTGCCACACATATGATCGCCCTGCAGGTCATCAGAGAGGTGATCAGCGTCCACTCCGAAGAACTTGGCAGACAGTGGAAAGAAGAGCAGGATGAGGGAGAAGCTTTGAGATCTGACCAGTCCTCCCACAGGTGGGGTTCGGAAACTCTCCCGATGTTTGATTTGTTTCCTGTTAAGATTAAAAGATCCCATGAAAACCCAACAATGAGCTCAAAATCAGGGGAGCGCCAGTGCTAAAGGCATGATCATTATGTGTTTGTCAGTCGAATGTTGGATAAGAGACGGTCAGCCTCCTCTGAGTCGGGCCACTCGCACAGCAAGCGCCATCGCAGCCACGACCGAAGCCGCGACAGGGAGGGGAAGAAGAAGAAGAAAAAGGAGAGGTGAGAGAGGACAGATTACCTTATTTGTCTCATGTTTCTTTTCTTTATTCTAAGTTTAGGATGAATTGAAATGACCAATGTTTGTCGGTAAATTCTTTTCAATTTCAGAAGAATGATTAAAAAACACTTGATGGAAACAGTTGGATGTTTGTTTTTTAATGATGTCATTTTCTCGTCTTTGAAGGTTTAAGAATATTTTGGAATAATTTGCGTCTTTCCCCAGGGACTCCCGCTCCCCGCATAAAAACCACGACCAAAAGAAGAAAAAGAAGAAGAAGAAAAAAGACAATAAGGAGAAAGAGAAGTGAACGTGGCCGACCAACAACAAAAGTCAGATGAGAAGAGGTCAAAGGTCATTGCAACCTTCACCTTTGACAGGGGTCATGATGTTAAAGTGTAAAAAATCTGGGTTTTGGTGAATGGTGACAGGGTTTTTGGATTAAAAAACATGAATAAAATGTTTTCAACTCAGCATTTTGCAGTTTGGTAACATGTCGCGATCAGCCGCCACCCGACTGCCCAGGCAGCTCGCTGTGTTTTTCTTCTTCTACTCAAAGTGAAGACAACGTGGAATGTTGGACAGGGGTGTCATAACTGGCACACTTGCATTCGAAGGTCAAAGGTTACTCTTTTAGGCTTAATTTCTGTACATCTGATTTCTGCATTTATTGAGAAATCTCAGAAACGTGGAACTCTCAGAGGATGCGTGCGACTTTGACTGTGTTGTCTGGAATTGTTTCAATAAAATAGCGCTCTCTGGGTTTCATTTCATGACCAAAACATATCACTCTGGCTCGTTTTGTAACACGATGGAAGCCTGTTAAATATATCATACTTTCAAAAGCTTAGTATGAGATTCAGAAAATCTTCACAAAAAAAACTGAAACCTAGAAGGTGCTGTAACCTAAGTAGCTGAACTAATAAACTGAGGAGTATCCTTCTTTGGACAGAGGATAGGTAGTTTTTAAAGGTTCAGATGAACATCTCAGGGAGGTTTCACAGGAAAATGTAAACGGTATTTACAATAAAAAAAATAAAGGAAATCTGAAAGAATCCTCTAGTGGAAACAGACCTTTATCATCAAATAGGATTATGTGCTTGGCTCTTATTTTTGATTTGAAACCATATAATTTATTTGTGCTGCAACTGACATTAAACCTGAAACATTTAAAACATTTTCTTGATTTGAATCGTGATGACAGTTGGTCAACTGACAACATTCACCTCCATTTTGGGTTTTCTCTGCCGATTCTGGACTCCACAGGTATTTCTCACCCTTTTGAGAAGCGGAGATCGAGGACCAAGCGAACAAAAAGCACAGGGAGGATCCCATCATGTTCCCGGGAGCCTGCCGGATCCTGGACAGGCAGAGAGGGGGCAGACAGGACAGGGGGAACCACAGGGATGACTGTGCTGTGAGGGGAGCTGCTCAGGGAAAGCTCAATCAGGTTGTGGTTTTCCTCGTCTGTATCCTGGATTCATCCTATTCAGGATCTGGTCTGGTCCGAGGAGACTCTACAGCACCATGGCCGCCTCCAGTGACAAGGTGAGAGGAGATGTTTAGCGGGATTTAGCTCGTAGCATGGCTGGGTCTGCTTCATCTCCCTGAGGGGGCAAAGGTTAAAGACATCGTCAAGTTTATCTGGGGGTGATTTTTATAGATCACATTTATTTGACAGAAAATGGAGAGAACTGTTGTTTTGGATCATGTTGTGATAACATTTTTCAGTTATGGGTAATATCTTTGAGACACATTGCAGGTCTGTCAACATCCAGGACAACAGACCATCAACTAGATCCTGTTTGTAGAAATGATCAAGGCTGGATTTTAGTTTGACTCCATTTGGTTCAGAAAGAACTACTTATCAAAGAGCGTATTCTCTTTTAATTTTACCATAATTATACATTTTCTGTCAGAAAGCTTAGAGGAATCATTGCAAAATCCTTTTACTAAAGCTTATAGGTCAAATTCTCTTAATATTCATACTGTGAATTTCACCCAGTTGGACATATATATATATATATATATATATATATATATATATATAAAACATTTTATTTTTGTTTTGTTCTTTAAGTTAAGCAAAAATGATTGTATCATATTAACTTTCAATGTGACAAAAATCCCTGCTTCTCACCCCAGGGCCCTGGAGGTCCTGCGGTTCAGGATTATTATTATATTATTATTCCTGCCTCACCAGCAACTTGTGGCTACTGGTCTTGTTTACTTGCTGTTAGTTTCATCTCCTGATGTACATTTTGCTCTTTGTTGAATTTCTTTTAAGTTGGGACTTCACATCAACTTATCATTTACATATCGGAGGAGGTTTAAAATGTTTCTTTTTTTCTATAACCTCCTTTCTAAAACCTCTGTGTGATTTACACAGGAAACTGTGGTTATGGTGGAGGTTTTATTTTCCTGAGCCCCTTTATTGACCTTGTTTCGAGCCTTTTGTGCACGACTGGTTGAAGGCGCAGGCTTTTCATCGGCTGGTGTTGGGGCTCACTGGGCGGCTTCTGGAATGTCAGATGAGCCTGAGAAGAGCTTGGCAGCGTTCGCTCTGACAAAGAAACCTCAGTCTGTTGAGTTCTCACTCAAGCAGCACCGCCGTCTCATCTGAGAAACCCAAACCCTCAGCAACCACTGGAGAACTAAAGACTGGGCTGGTCTTGCAGTGCAATCTTTTATTTGTTTCTGTGATCTTGATTGATGGCAGAAACTCTGCTCTGAGGTCAGAAGTTCCATCGGTGGAAGCACCTAGTGTAAAATCCTCTGCTGAATACTGTCTATGGTCGTTATTTCCTTTGTTCTGAATGATACAAATATTGCACTATCCTAAAGTAAATGCTGTTTTAACACACTTGGTTAAAGATATAAACACTGAATTGCCATTAGGGGGACTTCATTGTGTCACCAAATCTGACTGCAGGATCTAACAAACTCTGGAGATGATGAGAACTTTTGGCCAAAATATCTGTGTTAACCATTGGCTTTAGCTGTCATCAGGTATGTGCATGGCTGTGGCACTTTGTTTTGATGGCATTGGTTATGTACATACAGCGATGGTTGCTTTAAAGCTAAAATGGTATTGGACTTATGTCATGTGCCGATAATGCAGCTCTAATATGTTTGACAATTAAACTCTATATTGCCACATCAGTTGTTTGACCAGTAATAACCAAAAACTTCTGCATATGCAGTCACAGTTCCACTCAGATATAAAAAATCTGCAAATGTGCTCAAAAGCATTTTAAAAAGCAGCTGGATTGTGTTTAATCTCACTATGAATGTTGCTTGAAATAACACATGATGAGTGGTTCTAAGCCAACTGTTCAGGGAGACCAGAAGGAATGTGAAGCGCATCAAAAACATTGTTTTTAGAGTTAAAAGTTGTCGAAGTGTCCTTGGTGCAGACACTATGTCCCACATTTCCAACGACGTGTTCATCATTCTTTGGGTGAGTGTGATGAAGAAAAAAGCACTAAACAGGTTAAAAGTAAAACAAGCGGTGCTGTGTGAATGTGGTTTGAGGGATTGACACGAATGAAAATCTATATAATGTGATCAGATGATTACCAACCATAAAAATAAATAAATAAAACAACAGAAGCACCAGTTGTCACTCTGGTCCAGTAGGTGGCAGCGACCTGCTGCTGGTAAAGCTTTAGGAACAAAAGAAGGATACATAAAGGAGAATTATAATGCCACCTCAATTAAATGTCTGCAACCATTATCCTTGGTCGAGTGAACTTGTAGAGACAGTTCAGCAGCTCCTTTACCATCGATTAATCTACATTTTTCTTCAAGGGGATTATTCTAGCATGGGGAAGCTCCCACCGCAGCCCACACCTGTCTTCTCATGGTTTCCTTTTTGAGATCTGTAGTACTTTATGTGTAGTGTTTGAGCGTGTTTCTGCGATATGAGTGAGTGTACAGCCAATAGCTGGAGAGGTCAGACCACACATCAAACTGAATGATTCACAGGGACAAACCAGGCAGCTGGGATCTCTCAGCAGTTGGAGATGTCCCAGGTCTGATTTCTGTGAACACGATCAGTTAAAAAGTTGAGAATTGTGTAACTAAAGGTGAAACGAGAGTCATTTCTGTTGTTTATGATTAGCAGGCAGTTAGTCAAACTGTAAAACACTGAAAGCAAAAAAAGAGTTAGAAATCATTCATTTCTGTTATTCATTGAATGATTTATAACCATTTACGTTTTTGTCACAATGCATGAAGAATGTAAAGGCCACAGTGACCTTCTCCATTCTTTTTATTGCACCCAAAAAACAACTGTCATGGTATATTCCTAAATATAAATCAAAATCACTGTGAATACAATGTATTTTCATTTTTCTTTGTAACCCGTAAACCCTCAGGAGCAAATGTTCTGCTCTCTAAGTGTTGTGTTGTTGTTTTTTCTTTTCAGATATTTGACATCTTAAGAGGTTCTTCTTTACAATTCAACCTGTGTGTTTTATTCCAGTTGGTCTCACTTTAAATGTCTGTATTGTGGCAACCAAAAGTTCAGAAATATTCAGTATTTGCTCTTCGTCTGGTTACAAACCAGGAACATTAAATGGACAATTAGATTCTCCAACCATCTTAAAGTTCATAACATTGTGATCTGTGATCAGTGAGCCCATACCTGGTTCCTGCCTCTGTGTTAGATGTCTCATCTGTTCTCTTCTTTCATTTCGTTAAATGATCATTTATATGATGTTTCATTCATATATGTATGTATTATTTATTTATTTATTCATATATTTCATTCAAATTCACATAATATTTCATTTGTTTCTTGCAGGCGTTGTTCTTCTCAAGGCTCCTTGTGCTTTTCCTGTGTGTCCTGTCTTCTTTCTGCCAAGAATATTCTGGATACAACTCAGGTCAGGGTTGTCCTAAGATGAATCTCTTGGGGTGTTAATGTTCAAATTCTTACTAACTGAAACTCCTACACGCTGTTTAAACAGGGAATGTTAATTCCCAGACAAATTTTCTTTTATCTATTTATTCTTATCTGTTTCCAGGCTCTTAGTTTTTCTCGTTTTACTGTCATGTTTTATAGGTTAGGTTCATGTTAGATGTTTTCATTGTTGTGGTAAGGAGAGGTAAAGTTTGTCCATTTTTAGTTTATGTCTGTCAGTGGATTACTTTTGATGCAAACTAAGGTCTTACTCAATATTTTAATGCAGGACCTCCTTCAACCAAAGCAACAAACTTAGATCTTGGTTCTTGATCAAAACGTCACGTTTACTGTAAATTCAGCAGTGAAATCCATTCTTTTTAATGTTTTTCTGTGTGTAGGTGAGGACCAGACCTATGACAGCCCAGCTTCTCGGCAGCCAGGTGAGCCGTCGGGCCTCCCCGTTTCTCACTGACATGAAGTGTGCCAGAGAGGCAAACCCCTGCAAACCAGGACGGCTAAACACGCACCGTGATGTTTTCCCAGATTATCCGCCTGAGACGACTCAAAGCTACGAGGACCCGCAGGTAGAGGAGGACTACGACCAAACGGAGGTTACCATGATCACCGAGGACGTCTTTCCTTTCGCCACCACCACCGAGTCCCACTACGCCAAGGAGGACAAAGAGACCATGCAGGTGGGACTGCTGACAGTCAGGGCAGCAACACAAATCAATTTCGTTCAAGTAAATGAAGTACTCCTGGCTCTGTTTATCTTTCATTTTCACAAATCAAATGGCAAAGATCTTTTTAAATAGAGTGTCTGAACAGGTTCCGATACACGTTAGAAAACGTAATACATAAAAGGAATTCCTAACTTTTTGCACTATATTTTGTTTTGTTTTTGTATCAGAAAGACTGCAGGCGTCAGCTCTTGCCAGGATCCATCTGATGTTGTAATTCTGTGCCTCAGGTGCCGTATGACTCTGACTCCTCCGAGGAGTCGGGGGTTGATGCTGCGCTCGGGCAGGAGGGTCCAACAGAATGCAACTGTGAAGCCGGCGAGCCCGGCTTCGCTGGTTTTGCTGGACCGAAGGTACCGATCCCTCGGATCTCCTCACTATTGATTTGTTATAAGTGAATGCACCATTAAAAAAAAGTAGAGAAAGTCTGTTAAGTTGATTTTTTAATTGATCTAAATAGGTTTATGCAGAAGATGAATATTTGTCCCTCTAGTGTTTTGTTAGTTTAGAGAACTTTAGGTAAACAATAAGAACTCAGCAGATTTCCTGGAATGAGGCCTTCTGCACCCCCTGAGATACAGAATATCAACGAGGGATCATTTGTATGAAAAATTATTATAACAAATCTTTTTCCTTAACACAGAATTCAATGGATACAATGTTACTTCTATTGCTGTTTTTCTGTTTTTTAATTTTTCTGTGAATATTGATTATTGACACTAATCAGTGAGAAGAACAGAAACCCTTATTCTCTGCATACTCTGTTTACATTCTTATAAAAAGAAGCTACAGTCAAAAGTTCAGGTTGTAGCGGAATTTCAAAAAGAGTTAACATTTTAATTAAAGAACACAGCAATGGTGTTTCTGACTGTAAGTGGTAGAATTAGACTTTTAGGTACAGGCTTTTTCCTCTTGATTTCCCGTTTATCTCTCTGTTAATCCCTATAATTTTTTCTGAACCTCAGGGATTCAGAGGTCTTCAGGGGCAAACTGGTCGTCCAGGAATTCAGGGCAGAGAAGTGAGTGATCACAGCACAATCACATGTTTTTGTCTTCATTATCAGAGATGTCTCAATAAAGTAACATGCCGCATTTCTTGATGTACACTGTCACCTGTTTTTGTTGTGCTTCAGGGTTATAAAGGAACCAAAGGAGTTCAAGGAAGGGGAGGAGACACTGGACCAGTCGTGAGTGAACACCGTGGGGAAATTACCCTATGAGCGAGAATTTCTACTGTTGTTGTCGGAAACGTAATCTGAAAAGTAGGACAAAAGAAAAAGGAAACTAAACTCGGTATCACAACAAAAGCATAGAAAAGACAACGTAAAAAAGCTCAAATGAGATAAAAATAGAAGCTCTAAATAGAAACTAAACAGCTCATTATTTTTTTGTGTCAGAGGATGAAAAACCCAAGTTTAAAAATTAAAAAGTAGATCTATATAAACAAAAATATATACTTTTTAGCTTCATGTAGATATCAAAGACATCAAAGTGTACATTAATACATCTTAGCATGCTCTGAATACTGTACATTTAAAACTTGGGGGCTTGTGTGAGTTGCTTATAGGTTAAGTTTTTGGCCCTTTTTAGTTATCTTTGGTTTGGCCTCTGTTCGCAGGGAGATGCTGGACCTGAAGGAGAAGATGGAGCCTCTGGTTTCTCTGGTGGAATGGTGAGTTCACAATGTCAAACCAATCTCACGAGCTCAAGTGAACATTTACAATCCGAGTTTAGAAATGTTGCTTAGATTAAAGGGGAATATGAAAACATATGTTGCTGCTAATCTAAGATCAACCTTTATGAATGCCTCACAACCCCACCTTAAACAGTTTTAACTTAATGAGCTGCTGTAAGAAAATGTTTATCAAGTGATTCTTTCAGGGTGAACCTGGACTTCAAGGTGGCAAAGGAGAGCGTGGAGAGCTGGGTCTGAAGGTGAATACAGAGCATCCACTTTGTGGACACTAACTTATAGTTGGACAGTAAATCAATAATGGCTTATTTTAAACCACAGGACCTATTTTATTTATCATCAGTAAATGAACTGTCAGTGGCACAATTAACTAAAGCTCTCCCTGTTAACTTGATGGAGATTCCTATCAGACCAATGTAGATCCAGAAGATGAACAGATGTCATTAGCCTTTTTGCATCGTCTCTCTTTTTGTTTCTTCCTGCCATTAGTTCTCCAGTATCAGATGAGGCCTGTGTAAGTCATAATAAAGCTGCTCTTTCTGCATGTCCACAGGGGGACGTTGGTATGGAGGGACCCCGTGGAGGAGTCGGAGCTCCTGGTGAGACTGTAAGGAACCTCTTGGATACCCAGTGGGCTTACTTTACATTTACTTTAGTTATGATTCTGCTTCATTTTATTAAGTGACTCCAGAGAAAGAATTTGCATCATGATCACATGTTTACTCTTTAAGATGATCATTAAAATGATAATTCAGAAGTTATTCTAATATATTGATGGAGATACAGGGATAGAGTTGAGTTTAGATATTCGATGGGTTAAATGTGAGGCGTTTATTTTTTCAATGCCTCACTGCAAAAGGAGGCATTGGGAAAGCAGCACATTATCTGAATGCTGGATCTTAAACTTCATGGACTGGTTTCTCCAGGAGTTTTCGAACGGTGCAGATTTGAATTCTGGCAGTTTTTTTTGTTAAAGAGATGTTTGTGTTATGATGAAACCACTCTCCGACCAGCAAGGTGAGCAAGGTTATTTTCAGCATGTGACAGACCTGTTTTCTTTTTTTGTAATCCACCAACAGTTTTGTCCCCACCCCCTGTCGTGTGGTGGTTGCCCTCAGGTTGTAGCTACAATAGAGGCGGGTGGTGACGTTAGGGTTTTACCGGCAAGCCTCTGCTGTATCTGTTAATATATCCTCTCTGGACTAGAACCAAAAGTGCAATTATATGTTTGTTATAAGTGGGAATTTTTATTCCAACATTAAATTTGCTTCCAGTTTCTTTGCGCTTTGCTCAGCTTTACATTCTAGGTTTAAGCATAACAGAGTAAACTATTTTGTATGATCACTTGAAAACTTTGAAATGACAGTATCTCTGTAAACTTTCGAGTCAATTGAGTTAATCCGTTCATCCAAATGTGTCATGTTTGTTTCAGGGGCCTCGTGGTGACCCCGGCTCAGCAGGATCAAAAGGCGGGAAAGGTATCAAGGTAACATGTCTTGTTTTGTCTTCAATTAGTCCTTCAGTGGAAGTAAAAAAAGTACAAATACATTTGAAACATGCTCTGAAGCTGCTGCCCTATCAGATGGCTGCAGAACAGATTACACTGTCCACCTCAGACTTGTGCAAAATATGTTGCATCTTAGTACTCTAAGGTGTCATCAGTTGCCAACCTCTTGTGGGCAGTAGTCTCCTAACATTTACATTTGTATTTATGCATTTAGCAGACACTTTTATCCAAAGCGACTTACAAAAAGAGGATTTTCATTCAACTACAACACCAGTTACATGTTTACTTTGAGTGTAATATGCTAGAAGAGGATTTAACTTTAAGGATTTAACATTCAACTATGACATAGATTACACAAGTTTATTGATTTAGAAAGTTAGAGGATCAGTTCTCGACCTCTCAGGGCCACGTTGACTACCAATACCTTCATCAGTGTGTGAATGTGTAGAAGATGTGACGAATGGGGTGAACGTGGAACATTGTGTCAAATCAGTTCCCACATAACTGAAATCATGTTTAACTCCATATATTCATAAACATATATGAATAAACAGTTTTGTTATATTTGACATTTGGTTACTTTCATATAATATTGTTCCACTTGTTTTTTTTCGGTTTAGGGGTCTCGTGGTGACCAAGGAAAACAGGGTGTTGTGGGAAAAGATGGACAGAAGGTAAGAGGATTAAACATTAAACCCTGTAATAGGGAGTTTTGGTTTTGTCTCAAGTTAATCTGATTGGTGGTCTGTCAGACTTGAGTTTTCACTCCAAGTGTTTTTTAGAAAAGTAATGTTTTTTTCTGTTGTTGCGCTTACTGACCCTGACCAACAGATGTTGACTTCCTAACCACGAGGTCTTTCTCACAGGGTCAGATAGGAGCGCCCGGGTTTCCGGGGGATGTCGGCGAGAGGGGCTACACCGTAAGACTCATCCTTAGTCATCACATCTGGCATCCAAAATGACGATTCAAACACTGCCACGGCTTCTGTAGAGTCTTCAAAGTGGATTAGATATTTTAAGCCTATAGTCAGTCTTCATTTCTTGATTGTTCACTGTGTGCCAATTAAAAAGATTTCATTTGAAATGTCTCATGGCACAGAACTGAACTACAGGTCAAATTTAACAGCAAATCTCAGGCCCTGAGAAATTCAAGATGAAGTCATTTCATGCACAGTTGTTTGAAGCATTTTCCTATTTTCTCTCCATGGCAACAGAAGTTAAAATAACCATGTGCCACATTTGTATTTTTGTTGTTTCACAGTTCACAAAACAGGTTTTGCACTTTTCGTTAGCAGATAACATCACACAGACTTCCCTTAAATAGACAAAAAGACATTAATACTCAACCACTGTGTGATTGTATAGTGACATATTGAAGCAGCGTTGGCAGCACTCCATAGATTCTCAGTTATCTTTCCACCACTGTATCATTTGATCATCTCTGTACAGAAATGTTTTCGTTATGTTGTGGGTAGAATTGTTCCTTTTTATCATCGCCAGGGCTATCCAGGGCAGCCGGGATCCGTGGGACCAAGTGGACCAAAGGTACACACACACACACACACACATACACACAGGCCTCCTCATTGTGCTGTTCAATACCTAGTTTGCATCAGTGGGCCAGTACGTGAGGATGATAATTAACAATGCTGTATCAGTGTTATGTTTCAACGGTTTTCAACGGAGCCTTAGTTATCTGACTCCAGGAAGGAAACAGTTGACAGTTTGTCTGTGAGTCACACTGATTTCCATAAAGATGTCTTAAATATGAGACGTTTGGGATCTTTTAACCTTTTGTACAAAGTATCAACCACCTGTCTACTCTTATTATGCACATTGTACCAGTCACTTGATGACTTTAATTTACTTCCGGGGACTTTTTGGTCTTTTCAGCACTGTGAACTTTAGGGTTTGTGAGCACATGGAAAGACACCAACTGTCCTCAGGTCACTAATCCTAGTTGAAAAACAGACAAACAAAATGTAAGCAGCAGGTCAAGTAGATAGTTTAACAGTTTGAATTACAAACCAAAACAGATTAGGTTTCTAAGGTGACCAAATCATCACAAGATCGGAAGTCATCTCCGTGTGCCTGTCTTCTGACTGTCTTCATCTGATTTTAAATGTGACTTTGGTCCTCACAACAGCACACAAGCCCAAGCACAAGCCACCAGCTCACTCCTCTGTGACTGTGGCCATTTGAGTGATATAAAACATTTCCCCATGTAGATATAGAATAAAAGTCCATGACCCTGACCTGATATATCTGATTTGGGTTCAAATAGTAACAACATTCCTATGGGTTTTTATTCTTGTGCAGTTTGTCTGGCTCATTTCTCACATAGTTAGTCAGAGGGTGCTGTCAGACGACACAGACACATACACAGACTATGAGAGGATCATAATAAACCATAAACCAGAAGTTAGGGCATACTGAAACCAGAAAACTATATTAAATTAAACTATGCAGTTTCAATTTAGCACATCGTCTTTTAGAATTCCCCAAGTAGTCCCTTGTTTTTTTAGTAAAATTACACATCATTTTTTTACATTTGCTTTTACTTTTATGAATAAATCACTATGAAAATGAGGGTGGCCTATAAGCATTTTTAACATTTAGGCAATGACGTCTTCTATGCTTTTACTTCAATTAAAGGAGAAAAAGCGCAGCTAATCTAGATGATTCACAGATTAAGCTTGTTATCTTTTACTAAAAAAGCAAAAAAGCAAGACTAACCAAACTGAGATTAAGGATAAATAAAGGAAAGTACAAAAAATATAAGAGATGTCAAAGTTCTTTTTGCCCTCGTCTACAAACCAAGTGGACACTTTTTAGCTCCTGTTTTTTGTGAGAAATGATTGACCTTAGGAGCAGCAAACTTATTAAAATTACATTAAAATATATTATTACATTTTTCAGGTTTTTAGGTTGAATAAGCAAAAGGTTGAGTAGGGATTAACTGAGATAAAAGCTTGAGAATAATGGTGATGATTTTATTTAGATATTTGTTACTGTTTGGCAGACCTCTTAATACATGACCCACCAGATTCAAAGCTGTATATTATTAAATAATATGGTGTTGGTGTTGGTGTTGACCTCAAAGACTATTTCTGTGGGGTTTGGCAGGTTCATTTAAAGTTCCATAATGAATTCAAATACACCATTAAGAATTAACCATGAGGATGAAGCCACATTGATAAAGACGGTTTTATGTTTTTTTGTTGTTAATGTCCCCCTCCTCTGTTTCTCAGGGCACTAAAGGCCTGGGGGGGTTTCCAGGAAGTGACGGTGACCCCGGAGAAGATGTAGGTAGATTCAATTCAGGATCATAGCTCTTTATCACTCATTCAATCATGTTTTATTCACCAAACGTGCTTTCTGATATTCCTCAGGGTCCAATAGGAGTGCCGGGACTGATGGGAGAGCCTGGACAGTTTGGAGTCAAGGTATTTATTTAGGTTTGGTTTATTTCTGCAAACATCAGCAACAGCTACTGATGCTCAGCGCTCGTTATCTTTTTCTTCATCTTAAAACGATTACAACGGTTACTCGATTGACTAAACAATGTATAGGTTTTAGGTTATGGAGAGTAATTCTCAAAATATAGGTCTTTGCAAGAGAGAAAAGGTTTTATAAAATGCTGCTCTGTCATTCAAATGTATTCATTGATGCTAAAATCATCTCATGAGATTCAGAAATTTTAAATGGTGATGATCACGCTTCTGATAAAATCAAAGTTTACCTTCCAGCTTATCTCACATTGAGGAGTTATATGTAATTTCACGTAAGAGGTAACGTAGCGAGAAGCTCCGGATGACCGACCTTACCCACCCCAAACATTTGTGTTTCCTTGAATTAAGATTAGAATCTCTGAAAACATTGGAAAACACACACAACAAGTGCTAACATGTGAGATTATGCTGCAAAACCTGTGAACGTTGCATGTAATTGAGTCAAGAGGGTGAAAGTCCCACGTAGTCATGTTGGGAAATTGAAAATATTCGCTTATAACCACAAAAAGAACATCATGTTGTCATACTCTGTTTCTCTTTTTATTCTAATTTTTTCTGCACTTGCAGGGCAGTAAAGGGGATCGTGGGATCAGAGGACGTCGGGGGAGACTGGGCAGAGTGGTGAGTGCACAGAATCAAATAAAAGTCTGGATACTAAGCCCAGATCTGTCAGATTCACCCTTATAAACACAGTGAAATTCAAACAACTGTTTAAACCCATTTTAGGGATCTTTCCAGACCTTCTTTGAACGTCATGCTGGATAAAAGCTTCAGTTCACTGAGGGATGCATGTGGTATCTGTTATGTCCACTGTTGTTTCCCTGTGTTTGGACCAATGTCCAGCTCAGAAACACTATTTTACACTGTGGAAAAATTCTGTTGCATGAAGATTAAATACATGTTTTTAAGATTGGTAATTATGACATGACAACAAATAACTACAGCCAGTAAGATTTCCCAGAGTTCAGTGGTAAGCAAGTTGTTTTGACAGTGATCGGGTCACAATCCGTGACCTTGTTCTCAGGGACCAGAAAAAAAGAAAAAGAAAAATGAAGGAAAAAAAACCAAAAGCAGGTCACATTTTGTTGTTTTGTTTTTTTTCACAACCCACATGAAAACAGAGTAGTTCCCCCCGTTTTGGTTCTGGTCAACATGTTTTCATTTGTACTATAAACCCCCCCCCCCCATCCACACATCTTCTAAAAGCCCTTCACAACTGTAACTGCAGAGGTGAAGTACATCCTGGACAGGTCACCAGTCCATCCCAAGGCTGTTCTATGAACTGTAAAATCTATTTAAAGAGCCCAGGAGTTGGCACAAGTTTATTTCTAAAAGTCTAAATAATAATTCAAGAGGGGCCAGATGTTCATTTGTCACGCTGGTCCGACTCTTATGGCGTGTTCCGTGTCCTGTTAGTGCCCAGCCCAGATAAATATGAGGGTTGTGCATCAAGGCTGGTGTGCTGTGGCGAACCTCTGATCGGAAAACTGAAAGGCGGCAACAACTTGTCCTAACCTTGAAATGGGAAAAGGAAATTTCCCTCTTGCTAAGCAGCCATCGGTCAAAAGGATGCATGCTGAATGTATCCCACATGAACCTCCTGTTTTTCTGTACAGCATGACAACACAAACAGACTCATGACTGTTGTTTTACTCAATACGTTCCTACATATAAGTCCCTGCTACTTGCTTTTACATCAGATCACCTGTTTGCCACAATAAAAAGAGACCTGCTTTTTGTAATGGCGGGGATTTCTGGGTTTTCCCCAGAGCTGTTTACAGTTAACGGTAATGTAGTTAAATGATTACTTTAATGTATTTCCTAGTAAAGCTTATCTTGTTTTTTTTTTGTTCTTTTTATTTCACTGCATTATCGTATTATTATCTGTTATTTCAGGGCCATTATAGCTCAGCCTGAACTGTATGAACAATGTGTAACACGTATGAGTAATCCAAACAGAAATAAAAATCAAATAAGATAGATTTACAGCCTTATCTTGAAAAGATAAATCAACTTTGTAACCTGAATGACATTCATGATGTAATTTGTCCAATAGGGAAGTCAAGGAGAGCAAGGAGACGCTGGAATACCGGGAAAGCCAGGACCTAAAGGCCTCCAGGCATCAACAGTATGTTCACAAAACTTCCATAAACAATGGAAACAATCCCTCCAAAGAACATGCCATTATTAATCCTGTGAATAATATAATCTCTTGTTACTATGAAATCTCATATGGTTCAACATGCAACACCTAAACTTATCTGTCTTCCAACACAAACAAACCCAAAATACTGAACACAAATACTGCACATAGGCTGTTAAATGCATGCTGTTTGGACACAAAATTAATGTTTATGCACTACATAAATACCTTTGAACCAGAATACCTACACACAGCATATATTATCAGTTATTTATTTTGTGCTTACAATTTAGCAAGAATTTGTACAATTGTACAATTACCTTTGTCAACAGAAAGTTAAGATAATATAGGACATCTTTTTTGTTGGGAAACATCTGTCTGCAGTTACTCATCAACAGAGTTTTAATCAGTGAAGTTACCGCTGAGCATCACTATCACACGGTTCAGTTTTGAAATGCTGTTGTTTTTATAGCAGGTGTCTGTACTTCCTGGTTGTGTGTTTGACTTTTGCTCCTCCTCCAGGGTGCCAAAGGTGAGACGGGGCCTGACGGAGAAAAAGTGAGTTCTTTAGCAACACTTTGAGAGTGGAGCTGTGAAGAGAAAGACGGAAAATGCTTTGATGTGTAAAATGGAAGAGATATGTTTGGAGGGTTATAGAAAATATAGTAATGAATAATAAATTCTTCATATTAGCTAAATTTGGACACATTTATTAAGAACAACTTCACAGTCATTATGTGAAATGACAGATGGGGAATCCCCAGAAGTATGTTGACATTTTCTTAGTTGCACCTCATGGTTCCTGTTTTAAATGTTATAACGAATTATATATGGTTGGGACTGCTCAGCTGTTGTTTACATGAAACCAATGACTAACTAGCTTCCTTTTTCATGACATTTTTTTCTGCAGGGAGGACCTGGAAAGAAGGGAGCCAAAGGTGAAAAAGCACAAAAGGTAATTGCACAGGTTCATGGTAAGGGGAATAAACCTTTTCCTCTTACTGACTTACTGTAGCATCTTTTCATTTCCTCTTCCAACACCTGCTGGGACTTTGTGCTGATCAATGCGTACTTTTTTATTTTATCTTTCAGGGAAGCCGGGGTGATCGTGGAGACAAAGGACAGGTGATCACCTGATTTTTATTCTCTCTTAAATTATGTAACAGAAATGCAAATACGCAAAATGCTGGTGGAGTTTCTGAGACAGGAAATCAATCAATGTGGTTAAACCATAAATCTCTGGTAATAATTACTATAGAAGTAAGATTAAATTCTCATGTTTAAACAGAAATATTACAAATGTAATCAGTATCACGTCCTAAATGAGTAGTAAGACTGACTAGCAGTCAGGGTCATCTTTTCCACCCCAACTAACAGATGTGTATGCTTTGCAAATAACATAATAATTTGTAAAACAACAAAACCATCACATACAATAATGGGCTTTCAGAGAAATAAAAGAAGCCAAATCATTTTTATGTTAAAAAAAACATCCTGACAGCATCCACAGGACAGACTTAGGTCCTGCCCCTTTTTCTTTCTCCTCTGACAGCGAGGACCAAAGGGAGCAGTCGGCCGTAGCGGCATCCCGGGCCCTGTTGGACCCCCGGGCATCCCAGGAACAAGAGGAGAGCGTGGTCCGATCGGTGACCCGGGTGTTAATGGCCAAGCGGGACCCAAAGGAGTCCAAGGCCCAACCGTGAGTAACCTCTACACGAAGCTGGACCTCAGTTCATATCAGCATATTAAAAGAGCTCTTTTTTCTTTTTTTTGTTTGTTTGTTTTGGGGATTTTGATACCTTATTGAAATAAAAACAGATTTCATAATTAATAATTGCATGTATTTTTAGACAAATGTCTATTTAAAGAGGTAACACATGAAAAAAAGGATGTGGTCACAGACCTTAAATCAAAACATGTCCCTGTACAAAAAAGGTAGTTTATTATCTCAATATACTGTATATCTGCTTTTAGGTCGGATTAGTTCAATCGTTTTATTGAGCTCACTGGAGAAGATTAGTCTTTTTTCAATGAAAATACTTTTTTGGGGGGTTACAGAGATGTTAGCACTCTGTAGGAACATGAGGAATGTCTGTTACTTGGTGTTTTCGCCATGCAGGGTCCCGGCCTGACCGATGAGCAGGTCCTGCAGCTCTGCAGAGGCGTGGTCACAGCCCAGATTTCCCAGTACGCCCAGTCGATCCGAGCCAAATGCTCCCAGGGTTGTCCCATCAACAACCGAACTCTAATCGGGCCCCCGGGGGCCGGAGGACCACCGGGTCCAGCAGGCAAAGCTGTAAGTTTCAGCAGTGATGTTGGGGAGAAAGTATCTAGTAGAAAACACTCACTCAGAATTAATTCAGTCACAAAGTTTATTAACATGCATGTTTTTGGGTGCTGGGACACAGCCAGAGACAGCAACCCACACTGCTGTGAGATGATGGTGCTATAAAATATTCTGATAGTCAAATTAAATCCTGTTGAAATGTGCAATATTTCTGTTCATTTAAAAAAAAAATTAGAATTGTACTTTATCCAAATCTGTATCTCACTGGGCAGAATTCTGAGAATACTGAGAGTGTGGAGGCGATATTGCTGTGATTAAGTGTATACTGTTTCTGCATCAATTTATCAGGGGAAAGCGGGGAAAGCTGGAGCAAAGGGAGCCAGAGGCCTTCAAGGTGATAAAGGGCTGGAGGGGCAGAAAGGAGCTGAAGGCAACAGAGGTAAGATCGGTTGTTCCCACTGTACTCTTAGGAGGTGTAATGATTCTCTATATCAGCATTTGATATGTCAATAGCTTCATGACAGATTGGTTCCAGCTGTTTCTGCACCTGAACGACATTTTAAAAGCTAAACAGTACAGCCCAGTAGCCCAGGTGTAATAACCAGTAAAAGTTGCCTTTAATAGCTCAGGAATGTAACATTATGGAAACAAATGCATGTAACATTTATCCTCACACCTCAACTTTGAGCTTGAAATCCTGTAGCTTGGCATTTCTTTTCCTTCAAGCTGTTTGTGTTTTTTTCAACAGGTCCGAAGGGATCTAAAGGCACCACGGGGGATCCAGGTAAAGGCCTACCAGGACCAGACGGACCACAGGGACTCAGAGGTGAGATACTCCCTTTTGTCTCATTAACTGTAAAATGCTTTTCCAAGTCTGCAAAACTAAATCCGTTTAGTTCAATAATACTCATTTTTCTTTTTCTATTTAAAAATTCTCCAGTGAAAATAAAAGAAAGACCCATGCATCTCTATCACTACTCACTGTCCGTTTTTATCCAGGTTTACCGGGTCACCCTGCTGAACCCAAAGACGGCCAGGAGGGTGCCCGTGGGCCCCGGGGTTTCCCTGGTCCGGTGGGGATCGTCGGTATGGTCGGAATCGCAGGCGTGCCAGGATTCTGTGAGGCTAGAGACTGCAGCATTCATGCCCCCGTGATGCGTAAAGAGCAAGGTCTAGTAAAACGCCCCGCAAGTACAAAAATCTGAGCCCGAACACCAGGACCGAACCAAGCGGGGGACCACAGAGTTTGAGCTGAAAGCATCAGGGTTCGTCCCAGTGACTACACAGAGGGGAGCTGGTTTTAACGGAGAAATATGTTTTAGGTTCAGTTATTACAAAGGCTTGTTAATAAGCCATGAAAAAATGGTCAGTCTATAGTACCATGGGACGGCCTGTTGAGAAATCTTAACAAGCTGAAATAATCCTCCTCATCAGCCAGAATAGGCTCCCACAGACACTGAGGTTCATACTTCAGGGTATCCAAACTGCTATTTGGACTCAGTCATATTTCTTGTAATTTGATGAAACAGAAGTAAATTGTTACTCACCCAATTCCTCCCGCCGCATGCCTTTTTTTCTCTTGTAAACAAAGAATAAATAGATAATGCTCTGTAAATATCATGTAAAGAATCTTAAATACATGTGATGTGCTTTAAAATGTTTCAGATAAAAAAATGTTTTTTTAACCCGAGTCTTCAGTTTGTCGGTCTTCCCTTTTTTTCCAATTGGGCTATGATTGAATAATGTTTTTTTTGTGAGAAATAATCAAAGTTTATTATGGAACACTCCCCCTTTCCATGTGCTTGGAAGTATATATTTGGTTGAATGAAGTGAAAAATACCAGAAAGAAAAAAACTGAATCCATACATCTGTATTTCAGCCTCATAAATCCAAAACAGATATTTTATTTAACACTTAAGATATTTATAACTGTTTTTAAAAATGATCAAGTCTTTAATATCTGTCTCTATACCAAAGTTTTATTTTTGCAATTTCCCTGCTTGGGATAAATAAAGTGTATCTATCCATGTATATGATGGGCATTTACTGTTCTCAGACCTAAAAAAAAATTTAGGCCCTGATATTTGCTTGGCTATGAACTTCAAATCTCTTCCTCTAGATATACAGTTGGTCATCCAACCAGTACGTTTTTCTGATGTTAAATGAGTTTGACTAAATGAGTTTGACCATAACGAATGCACTACAGATAGTGGGTAATATTCACATAGACAAATGACAAAGGCCTCCATTGCTTTTAATTAAATTGAGTTGAAAAAATAATGTAGAAAAAAAATATTAATAAAAGTGCTTAACTTGTCAGTCAAATATAACATTCACAGCAGGAATAATTAATATCATGGGGTGACACAACGAAAAGCGGCTCAAACAAAACATACATTTTTGATGATGATTCACATTTTAGCAAAAAAAAGGGAAAGGGAACATCTGTCCAGAGTAAAACTTTCTTTTCTAAAAACCAAAGCCAACTAATTCCAGGAATTCAACAAAATGGAGGAAAAGCACAAACATTAAGAAAAAGCTGTTAATACCCATTTTCTTAAAGTGTCCCTTTTGAATCCTATTGTGCTGTTATCCATATTGAAACGGCAGTCAAGGAGCAAGAAAGAGTGTGTATAGAGTTTTAAATGGCTGCTTTTAAAATCTGAGTCTGGGAAGCAAATGGTGAGACGTTTTTAAATAATTCATTCAAAGCCGAAGCCAACTTGCCAATTACGGTAATCAAATCCCTTAAAACATGAGTTGGTTAAAAAACTAAAACATTGATAAAACATTCTGTTGGTTTTCAGCCTTAAAAATGGCTACATTTTGGCTACTTTTAATGTATTCATTATTAATCTTGATCAGGATGGCAGCAGTTTGTGTGTCAGCCTCTGCTGATGCTGGTCTGCAGAGAGTTGCTTAGTGGTAACATTCAAGTTATTTGTTGCTTTTATGGATAACTATTTTACACCTTTGATTTATTTTGTGGTTTGTGAAACTAAGGGAAAGTCATCATACTTTCCTTTATTCAGCAAATGTAGCTTTAGTGATAACATTTTTTTTCTCTTATTGCAGATGTGTCTAAAAAGTAGCAACACTCCCAAAGAAACCGTGAATAAAAATAAATACATTGAAAGACAAAATGAATAGGACAGTAAATATTTGTTAAATAAATGACTGAGAGAAGAAGCTCACAAATACAATCAATTTTCTCTTGATCTTCTTTTCTATTCAATCATGATTATCAAAACGTATTAATGGTACAGATTTGTGTTGGTTGTTGGTCTGCCTCACAAAGCAGCCGGTGCAGTGGTAAGTATTGGTTTGGTATTATTTATTGCTGTTATCATATTATTTAATTGGTTAATCCATTAAACTATTATTAGTGTTAATATTCTAAAAAAAAATGTTTGAACTTGCTGGTACATTATTCCAATACCTTTTTGGAAGACTTTTCAATAGCTTATTCCATGGTACACTTTTTAAGACTGGGTATTTTCTGTCATTCTACAATTCAATAATCATGATTTGTTTTTTGTATGTGTAGATAAGAAGGGAAAGTAGGCAGATATCCACCGGTTGTGGCATCTGAATGAACCTCTGCTATGTAGCTTTCATTGTGCTGAACTAACACTCTTTAGCTTTTCAACCAAGACTAAATAAACCGTTTGTTTTAGGATTTTTAAAGTTAAAAATCCGTCGTCAGTATGTGTTTTCCCTGTTAGAATGGCTTGGCATTTTCACAGTATTATTCAGACTCATTTTCAAACCAGACACTCTTTCTTGCTCCAACAGCCAATTTCAGATCACAGATAATTAGATATGACAAACAATCCTAGCAAATGTACTTATAGCAGCGTTACATTTTCCAGTGCAAAAGTAGGGCATTTGGAGCTCACATTTCATCCTCATAGTGCAGTAATGCTGTTTCCTAGCTGTCATCAATCTTTCATTTTATACTTCTGAACAGACTATTAAAAAGTTGGGGTCTTCAACCTAAATATCCAAGGGTCAAAAGGTTATGTAAAAATCAAATATAGACGACTAAATCGTAAAAACATCATGATGTTGGCAGAATTACAGACAATGTAAACACTTTGGCAGATTTGTAGAATGGCATCACTTGGAATTTTGAGCGGGTGACTAGAAGATAAAGGAATGCTACTCTATTACTTAGCTTTTTTTCTGGTGTGGGCCAAATCTGTTTGATGGTAATGACTTAAGTTGATCCACAGAACAGTGGACACTGAGGCAGGGTTGCATTTAGCCAATGCTTCACACGGACCTACTGGGGGTGTAAGTGTTAGTACCATTAATATTAATACTCAGATGATGGAGCGATGTGCAAATTTCAGAAAAATAATGCCTGAGATCATCATAACTGCTGAAAATGAGTACATTTGATCAGACAACTATATCTTTCTTAATTCATAGAATTTTTTTTGCATAAATAGGTTTCTTTGTAAAGCTATGCTATGCTAAAACTAAAGATATGGAAATTAGATGCATAGTTTTTGACTCCCTCTATCCCTGAGTTCACCAGATCATCTGAAGAAAGAGACGTCCAAGGATCGTTGCTCCCAGCAGATTAACCAAACCTACACAAGAGAGAGGAATTCAATCAGCCTACATCTGCTTCAACTTTCCAGCAGTGAAATAAATGGTCAAACTGATTTCAGCCTAAGAAATGCAAGCAGATTTGAACCCTTTTTTCCACCACAGTGTGCGCCATCTTACTTTTGTTCCCACTGGTGATGTCAACTTTCAGAACAACGTTTAGTTTCAAGACCCATCATAATGAATTCGGGGGGAAATGCAGTTTAAACTGTGTCAGAAATCCTGCTAATGCGACGGGGGGAAAAAAACCTGACTCACCCTCAAATCCCAGAGTCACCCCAGAGGAAGTGGAATATTGGCATTCATCGGCGAGGTAGATTTTCCGAGACTCCTCAGTCACAGGTGTCTGTAAACGTTTGACATCAATCTGTATGTAGATTCAAGCCCATGTTTCTGCTTTTAAGTCGACACGGTTTTAGCGTTCAGGTCTAAAGATGATTCGGCTGATTAGTTATAAGAAAGTAAAAGACCTACGTTGGTGCAGACGGTGGAGAGGTTGACATTGACGCACCCATCCAACACCATCGTGTGGCCATCAAAGCTCTTACATGGAGGAATGCATTGCCCCTCGCCCTGGTGGATGTGGGCAAACGTCTGCAAGAAGAAAGCACGTGTTTTGCAAGAATACCTAAAAATGTTTCTCTAGCCTGAGAAGCCTACAGTACGACTACAGTCTCAGATTTGACCTATGTGGGACAGCATGGGGTGACACAACGAAAAGCGGCTCAAACTGTGACAGCATTCAGACATGTGGGTGTTATTTATCAAGGCTTCATTCAGATATACATGTGAAAGTGAGTTTTCATATGCATAAGAGTGAAAAGCAATCACTGAATGGGCCTCACGCAGCCTTTGGGACAAACAGAAAGCTGCAGTGGCTCTTACTGGTGTTTTACTACATGTTTCAGCTTCAGTCCTCGCCTTCAAGGAGCTAGGCAGAGCATTTAGCATGCTGGAGAACATGTTTTCAGCTGAGCTGAAAACCTTTTAAAGAATTCATTAAAATGATCATTCAGTTGAAGCTGAAGAGAAAAAGAATGAATGACCATGAGGTGACTTGGAAAGCTTTGAATGTGTGTTACAAATATTATGTTTTTGATATCCACTTAATTAAGTTTAAAGCAAACAATTGAAGACATTGAAAGCAGTTTTGACTCAGTGCAGGTATAGTGCAGCAATTGGTTTTACAGCATTTTAATTCCAATGGATGTGGCTTAAGTCATCCTCCTGTTCAATGCTTCTCAGAATACAGGGCAAAGTGGATGTTTTATTGAATTTTCGAGAATACTTTGGTAAACTATTGTTATTTTTCATCACAGCTGATAGACAATTTTTCACATCACAGATCATTATCATCTCTGTTAAAAAAAATAAAATAATAATTGTTGGATTGGTGGGGATTGGGTTAGGTGGCCACCTCGCCATGGTAGAAGTTCTTTTAGGGCATCACAAGGAGAAACAGAAAATATTATTAATCCAGGAAGGACTTAAGACACAGCTACATAGTCAAAAGCTCACAATAACAGGACTAAAACAGCAAGCAGATTTACCTTTGTGGTTTAATCCTGTGTGGGCTATGAAACAAAAAAAGACATCCACCCAAACAGCTGTCAACATATTTTTCTATACAAATAAATGTGTACATCTGCTCTTGCAGTATTTTACTAGACATGTATGAAACATGAGCTCTGGTGCTTAAGAGTTGCATCTTAATATGAATTTGAGGGTTTTTCGCACCTTTCCATCTGCGGTCCACGTGTTCTCGCATCCCGGCTCATAGGGCAGCCGGGGGCTCCCACAGCAGGAGAAGGAGGAGACGCTCTGCTTCACCTCTGAGCTGCTCCACACAGATCCCACAATCACTGGGACAAAACAACAAAAATTCAACAAAAGGCCAAACTAAATGGATGACATCAGCTCCTAATTTCCAAATGTCCCCATACTGTTTTGATGCATTTGCCATCCCACCGCCATTCATTTCCGCATATTTTGCTTCCGAAAGTAATGCATTTGGTCATCTTATAACATGTCAAAAAGCTTTGAGAAATGCAAAAATAGTAACAATAGTTGATTGAAATAATGTAGTATGAACAAATGTCTGAGATACTTTATGTTTTATATTTTTCACATTTCACTGTGTCGGCAACACTAAGATTAGGGTCAAACAAATCCATATATGCCTTTATATTATCAGAAATAATTATCATTCATATTTATATTAGTATTTCAGAATCTGGGCATCTTTCATTGGTCTAAATCAGAATTAAGTCTGTCTCCAGGTCAGTTTGAAGCCTTACTGAGATCTCTCTACCAGGCCTCTTATGAGAGTAAGACTACATTATTATGTAAAAAACAAAAGTGTAAGTGAAACGGAGGACAGAATGATCTAACTGGTGGACTTTTAATGAATTCATTCATTTCATTATTCCAATGGTCCATTGGTGTGAATAGGGCGTGTTTGTTCGTAGGAATTGTTTATGGTTTCCAGGATGTGAAAGTGAAACTTCACGGGAATTTCCCTGAGTATCTCTAACTTAGTGGAAAAACCGGCGGGGAAGCTTGGGGATTCCCTCAAACACGTGCTTCCGCTTCCCGTAAATGTCATCAGTTTCTCCGCAAATAATGGAAATAACGTACATCAAATTTAAAAAAACTAACACAGTCTAAACGCGCTATGATATATTTTTGGCTTACAATTGTGCTTATTTTATTTTTTCTACTTAAAAAAAAAAACTTTAGTTTTTCAACGGAAGATCGGCTGGTCTGCGTCACGTGCAATTGGATATCTAACGTCACAGAGGATTCGCGGATGAAAATTAGCCCGTTGACAACATGTTAAAGTGTCTAATAAACTATTTGGATACTCACTTAATGTCAGAAATACCTTTAATCCCATTCTTTGCATCCTTGGAAACCCTGGACGCCCTTCCGGGAGTTCAAGATAGTAACTTCTTTAACTTGTGGGTGGGATTTCCAGTGGGTTTTTTTTTGACGGGGGGGGGGGGGGTTTTTTGTTTTTTTTTTTATTGCGTTCGTAGGCGTGCTACTTTCGGTTGCTGCTATAATATTAGCTGCTACACTGTAAAAGTCCAGTCTTGAAGCCGTCTTCCATCCAGGTTCTTCTTTCCTCCACCGGTCCGTCAGCCTGTGACATCAACACCACAATGGCTCTGGGTCTGCTGCGCGTGCTGCTCTCCCTGAGTAAGTCTGTTTCACAACTCCCTTTTTTTCCCGCGTTAACGACGTGACCGATGGGAAAGACTAAACGTCGCGCGCTCTCCCGGCGCCTCAGGTGTGTGCCTGGCGCGTGGAGGGGTCCTCACCGGTGACGCACGCCAGGTTGGAGCTCTCTCCGGTCGGAACTGTACCCTGAAGTGCACCGCGGAGCACAAAGCCGGCGTCCGGTACAGGACTGTGGTCTGGTATAAGGTAAGAAATGTGCTTTTCAAACGGGTTTTTTACGAGGGCTGCAGCTTCAGGGAAGAAAAGACACATGCGCATTTGGCTCCCTTACTATGACTGTTTGCTGGATTATGATGTAGGATACAGGATGGAATGTTGGTTCAGTTAATGCAAATATTGATATTTGTAGGACTTATGTAGTCAGCTGTTTTGGAATAGAATATGATATGGAAACATTCAAATATGTTTCAGGTCCTAAAATTCTGCTTAGACTGTGTAACAACTGGTATAAATGGAAAAGTTTGTTTGTGTCAAAGATGCCAGCTGTCACTATTTCAAAGCTCCAAAACAGTCATAATGTGAAATAATGGACTCACGTTTTAATCACGTCAGCTGCAACTTTCAAAATGTGCACAGCAATGCATCCGATTTTAGATAAAACAAAAAACCTTTAGTCTATAGACACAAAAACCTCCAACCAGTTGTTGTATCTTAATTTTATCAAACTTTTTTTGTATATAAAAGTGTTTCAATGACTTGTTGACATGGGAAATCAAAACTTTAACTTTTCCTCAAACTGCACATCTGCTGTGATACTGCTTATAGCGTCTGAACTCCGCTCCCCCAAATCTAATCACCGCTCTGGCTTTTGTAGCTGGGAGGAGGCCAGCCGGATCGGCAGAGTGGTCTTTTGCGCAAGGATCTCCCCCACGGTGAGACCAGAAGATACGCCGGCCTGGACCGGGAGATGGAGCTGCTGGACGACTCCCACGGACTCTCGCTGACCAATGTGACGTGCGCAGACGGCGGCCTGTACCTGTGCAAGCTGTGGGCCCCCGTGGGAGAGCAGAACCGGCAGGGGCAGGTCCTGCTCACTCTGACAGGTAAACGTTCCCATCAGGTGTCAGCAGGCCATAACTAATGTCTGAGGATTTATTTATTTTTTACTGGGAACCTAAATTATAAATCAAAAGGCTTCCCTGAGTAGTCCATTGTCTTTTTAGACAAGAACAATCAAATGATGATCCTCAAAAGTGTCTGAACACCACTGTGTAGCTATGTTGGAGGTAAAGCTCATACGGCCTCAGATTCTAATAACTCTGGTCCCTATCTCCCCTTTCAGATTGTCCAGTTGAGCCCACAAAAACTCCTGATGCCGCCAGAGATTATCTCATCGGCCCAACAGATTTGCCAGTCGCCCCCACAGAAGATGTGATGACCAATGACCTCGTTATTTGTGCCACTGTTTTGATAATGGTGGCACTAATTATACTTTCCGTTATCCATGTAAGTAATAGAATTTTTTCGCTCGCAAGACATTTTCCAGTCTGCATTTCTGTTTGTACAGTATAAAGGCTTGATGTTAGATCCTGATCAAATTGTCTTTTTTTTCTCTCCACCAGTGCTGCTTCAATACCACTTTTAAAGACAGAAAACAGAAACTGAAAAAGGACATTTTATTGGATGCACCAGTCAAAGAGCTTCAGAAGAAGGACTTAATGTTGATCTACACTTTGGGTCCGAAACCATCCACTATGAAGCACATCTGTGTGTGAAGTACACTCCTTTTTGGACTCAAACTCGAGTGGTTTGGGGAGTGTAATCCAGAATGGGGGTTTGCACAGTGGTACGAAGGATGCCACCGTCCCCTCGCAGCATAGGGTTGACGGTTTGAATCCCGGTCGGGGGCTTTAATGTGTGGGGTTAGCAGTTCTCCCTGTGCATGAGTGGCTTCTCCACGTTCCCCCAATACTGAAACATGAATTGGCAACTCTAAATTGACCCGTAGGGGTGAGTCTGAGCATGGCTGTTAGTCTCTGTGTGGCCCTGTGATGACCGGTGACATGTTCAGGGTGTCCTCTTCCTTATGGCTCCAGCTCCGTATGACCCTGTCTTGGAATAATCAGGCATAGAAAACGGACGGACAGAACTCGTAATAGACGGGCTGGTCCGGCAAACTAGTGGAGCTTTATAAGCTGGTCAGAGTAATGTCACCTCATAGTCCCACTGCTGTGCTTTGGGGAATGTGTGTGAACTCACGGTGCAATTACATTGAATAGATGTGTGGTTTCTAAATTCCAGTTTGCTTTGAGCCAATGGAGGGAGGCACAGTTGGCCCAACTCATGTCCCACCATTCCATATAGAGAGCATTTGTTTTCACAATAAATGTTATGTCAAGACGAATCATTTCCTTACTTGAAGGTGCTATAATGGACATTCTTTACTGTAGAAAATTTAAATGGTGAGAAGTAGTAGGTGTGAGTATAAACTGAGCCATGAGTGCAGCTGTTGTTGCACTCAACATTTGTTGTTGTTTTTTTCTTTGCTTTTCGGTGTTGTGAATGAATCGGTACACACTGTTCCTAATCTGCTCTTGTGCTTTATACTTTGAATTCATTGGCAATTGTATATTTTTTTTATAAAGATGCCCCATTGTGAAACTCACATGTTGGCACAAAGTGAACTTTGATGACATTTAAAATAAGGAAATGAGAAATGATGACATTCATACACCCCCACACTGTCTTTTTTTTTAACTTTGTTTTGACTCTGGGGAAAGTCATGAGAGTGGGTTTATAATGTCTGGACTTTTTGGTTTTATATTCAGCACTTCCCTTTTTGTAAATGGAACAGCGCTAGCGAGTATGAAATGAAACAGCTCTTTTAAATGTTGAAGGGCCAGGATGTAGGGGTTCAGTTGGGGGAACTCCAGTCTTAAATGTCACTGGTTGCAGCTATCACACTAGGTCATATTTTATGCTTCAGCAGCTAGAAAACCTAAAAACCTCCTACTGGATTGAATGTACAGCTTAGAAAGGCATATATCAAGTCTCACATCAGACCTTTTTGTATTTATTTTTTTTGTTATGTGTATTTTTTAATGTAGGTCATGAAATCCTGCTTGAACTTCTGGGACGATTACTATATAAAAGTGATCAAACATCAATGAATTTGTGTCTGCTTCATCTTGATTGTTGAAGTCAATTTATTTCTTAAGCTCCACCAGTCCTCTGTGACCAGAGAATGAAACTTCAAATTTTAGCACCATATAAAAACACAAATGGGGTTAAGAAAATGTGTCAATAGCAATGCTGCAACACTATCCTACCACAAATTGACAGTTCATTGTCCGTCAGCTTCAAACTAAATTCTTCTGTTTTTCATTATAAAAAAAAAAAGTGTTCTGAAATCCTTTACGCGGGTATGTGGAAAACTTAGCCACCTCCTCTCTCGCTATCTCATTGTATTTGCGTCTAAATGTGCTTTTGTCTGCATGAGATGCTCTGTTTTTGAACCATTAAAATGACCTGCCTGAACTTCAGATGGGTAAGTAACATTTGTTTATTTTAAGACACCCTCTCAAATATTCAGATTGAGTTTTGATAGCTTTTAGCATTTTTTAGCCTAACACGTGGCACTCGTTTACTGTAACACAACTTTTCAAATATGCCGTCAGCATTTTTTTTTTCCATATCCTACACATACGTATTTGTCTTGCATGTATACAGAATAATGTTCAATTCCACGTTTAAAGACAGAAAACAGAAATTGAAAAAGGAAATATAACCGGAACTGTTTGGTTGTTCGGCTCTTTGAAGACGCCGACGACTGACGTATGCATGTTGTCGTGGCCGAGTGGTTAAGGCGATGGACTAGAAATCCATTGGGGTCTCCCCGCGCAGGTTCGAATCCTGCCGACAACGAATATATATTTTCAATTTTAAAAAACTATTTAATGTATTTATTTTCATACCACCTAATCTGAAACGTTACCACCACTTGCTATCAATTTAAAGTTTTCTATAATAAGCAGATGTGGCGTGTTCATAAAAAAGGAAACGGATTTACTTATTTTCAAAGTAAAATACTTTTCAGTGCCATACCTTTTCCTGTGACCAAAAGTTCGGTTTTGTAGATTGATATTCTTTTTCAGACACCACTGAACATACCAAAATGAAGTACTGCCTGGTGTGTTTCAGAGTTAGTATGTGGGGCAATTTTAACTGGAGTCCTTTAAATTCCTCGGCATCCACATCTCTGCAGACCTCTCCTGGTCGGCCAACACTACAGCTCTGGTCATGAAGGCTCAGGAAGGAACAACTAAAGACTCAGCTGCTGGTGACCTTCTACCGCTCCACCATCAAGAGCCTGTTGACCTACGCTGTGTGACAGTGTGGCACTCCAGCTGCACGGAGGCCGATAGGAAGCGACTGCAGAGAGTGACAAACACTGCACAAAAAATTATCGGCTGCCCTCTGCCCTCTTTGACTGCCATCTACAACTCCCATTGTCTCAGCAGGGCCAGAAACATCCTGAGGGACACCACCCACCCCGGCTTTCATCTCTTCAACCTGTTGCCCTCAGGCAGGCGCTTCAGGTCAATACGGACCAAAACAAACAGACTCAGGGATAGCTTTTTCCCCAAAGCTGTCACCTTACTCAACCAACATCCAGACTAACACTAGGGATGGGACGGTTTCTGAAAACCGTCCGAACCGTTCGGTTCGACTGTCTCGGTTCGGTTCGCGTGTGTACCGCACGGTTCATGCACTGCTCCTTTTTCTCAGAGGGAAGCGTGTTCACTCCAGAGCAGAAGGTGGCGCTACTGCGCCCAAAGCCAACCACCAGTAGGATACAAGAAGAAGAAGCGAAGCAGCGTAGCCGATAAAAATCAGACGCGCCAACAGCAGTTTCTAGGTCTGCTGTATAGACCTCTTTGCATTTAGAGTCAAGCACATGTTGGAATTAGCACTATTTCCTCGCTTGCAATGCCAGAATCTCGCCTATTTTTAACCTAAGACTGTCACAATAATGTATCAAATGTCAGACTGCTTTTTTCTTTCAGTTTTAACTAGGGATGGGGATCGAAACCCGGTTCTATCAAGGACCCGGTTCCACTTTTTTCAAAACCCGAAAATCAATAACGTTTGGGCTTATCGATACCACTATCGAGTCTGGTCGTTTTTTTATTATTACAATAGTAATTGTGAAATCTGTGTTGTAATCGGCAGCATACAAGCTAGTTAGCTTGAAAAGTAAATAAAGTTTCAGACGTGCTGCGTGATGATGTGTTCAGATTGGCTCAGTAAAACGACAATTAGGTTATCATGATGCGTTCAAGTGTAACGTAAAGAAAATGGAAATTGAGTTTTTGGCGAGAAACATGAGTAATACAGTTGTATATTGCTCTAATTATTTTAGAATATATAATTAAACTACTGATGCCAACATTTATTCAAAATTACATTTAATTTAAAATACAATTATTTATTTGTTAAATATTGTCGCATCGTCTTTCCACCAAATAACAGAAAATTATCGATAGTGGTATCGATAAAGACTCGGATCGATAAGGAGTATCGATAAAAGTATCGATATCAATAAATATTAACGATCCCCATCCCTAGTTTTAACCTGACTATACAAGACATAATAGATTTTCCTAACAATCACCATGTACCGAACCGAACCGAAAACCGTGACCACAAAACCGTGAAACGAACCGAACCGTGGATTTTGTGAACCGTCCCACCCCTAACTAACACTAGTACTAGTACTCCAGTTACACTAATGTATTGTATATGTTTGTGTTATTTATGTGTGCACTTTACGGAGCTGCTCTCCAAATCTCATTGTACTGTGTACAATGACAATAAAGGCTTTCAATTAAATTAAATTAAATTCAATTCAAAGTGAGAGATATTAAAAAGATGTTTTCATTGAGATGGTTTTCTATAAAAGATGAGACAGTCAATCCACAGTGTCAGCCCTCATAAAGCCTAACTATTTTTTATTGAAACAATAACCAACTATCCATCCATCCATCCATTATCAATACCGCTTATTCCCTCATGGGGTCGCGGGGGGAACTGGAGCCTATCCCAGTGGTCAACGGGCGAGAGGCAGGGTACACCCTGGACGGTCCGCCAGTCCATCGCAGGGCAACACACAGGACAAACAACCACTCACACTCACATTCACTCCTAAGGGCAATTTCCCCAATCTCCAATCAGCCTAACATGCAGGTTTTTGGACTGTGGGAGGAAGCCGGAGAACCCGGAGAGAACCCACGCAGACACAGGGAGAACATGCAAACTCCACCCAGAAAGGTCCTGGTTCCCCCGGGATTCGAACCCAGAACCCTCTTGCTGGGAGGCGACAGTGCTAACCACCACACCACCGTGCCGCCCCAATAACCAACTATTTCCCCCAAAATATAGTGGTAAGAAGTTCAGTTGAAGTTCAGGTGGAACCATTTAAACTGACTGCAAGTGTACCTTTTATTCTATCATGATAATGCACATACTTATTTGATATACACCTCATTGTGTTGTCGTAAAAATACTCCAGGACAAAGGCCATTATAAATATGATCTTAAGTAAAAAAAATAAGGGTAATCTTCGTCAACATTTTAAATTTTACTCTTTACTTTGAAGTGAGGGAACTTCACTTTTACGTAATTTCCGCTTCGTTACATAGCAACAGTCAACGCTCTGATGGAAGCTAGCTAGCGTGCCGTTTGGGCCAAGGGCAGCAATGATAGCCGATGACGATCTGGATGAACTGCTGGATGAAGTGGAAAAAAAGTTTTGTCGTAACGTTTCTGTGGCGTGTTCAGTCCCTGAAGCGTCAAACAAGGCTGTAAAATGTGGTAAAGAGGAGCAGAATAAATATGGGTAAATAAAGCTAGTTAGCAGATATCAGCTAAAGGCTTCTAAACGTTTAACAAGCGTTTAAACCTCAATTGCGTGTAATTAACGACACATTCCAGGTGTAAATGACTCTTGCAATGAGTTAACGAGAGATGCAGACTGTTTTTAAACTAGGGTTGAATAAAACGTGTGTACTGTAAGTTATTCAAACACTCCTTTACACTCAAGTTTATTTTTCATCACACACCGTCTTTCAGTGACATTATTTCAACTTGAATAATAGTAAACTGACATTCTAATATGAACACTGGAGAGAGTTTACTGGCATAAAACAGGTTAATGTAAAACCCAATGCTCAACACAGAGATTCACGGAGCTGTGCACAGAGCTGTACGATCTCTCTGATAGTTTATCACAAGCCTCTGTGACATAGTAGTGACACTATTTTTTGTGTCTAATTTAGTGCTTCAAAACATGAGAAACCAATAAGCAGCATTTCGGAGGATATCGATGCCCTTCTGGAAGAATTACTGGACGACGATGGCAGTGATTCCCTCAAATCAAAGGTAAAGCTGGATGTGTTAAATCAAGCAACTGGGGATAGAAAGCAAAGCTTTGGAAAGAAATGTATCTCGTAACTGATTTATCTCTTACATTATTCTGCTGTCTGCAAAAAATAAAATTGAAAACAGTGTATTTGGGTAAATGCAGGAGGTTATAGATATTCTTCCAGCAGTATGATGGTAGCACCACAAAGTTGTGCTTTGTATAAAGGAGTGAACCAATGTTCCTTTTATATCTTAGACAGAATTTTTTAAAAAGAAAAACTGCAAATTTTCTCCAAATCTAACCTAAAGACATGAAAATAATAGGTAGCTATAGATTAAAGATTTATAATATGAATTTCATTAATTAATTTCTTTCCTTCTTTATTATACATTTTAGCCTGACCAGTTTGATAAGGAACATCAAGATGAAAAGAAGCTGCCAGGCCCATCTGGAAGAAAGTAAGTAATCATTGTGGATAAAATAGTAGTCCAACTAATTATTTATTTAGTTTAATTTTAAAAAGCTTTTCTTGAAGCTTTTCTTGTTACAAAATATTCATCACTTTAAGGATGTGAAGCGAGTTTTCTCTACTTTTAGTATCGGCATCTTCTGTATTCTTAGATAATATCAGTAAATACCTAAATATTGGCTTATAAATTAGGCACGGAGGGCTACACAATGTAGAATTTTCTGTCAGGGTTTGATATTAAGAGCGCTGACGATTCCTGATAACATTCCTGATACTTTGCTTTTCCTGTACTTTTTGACCCTGATAATGATTCTGCTTCCAGGTGCTGTCCTGTTTTCCTGGGAGGCAGCTCAGTCATAAATGGCATTGGAACAGCCACATCAAAGAGGTGGATTATCAAGACACAGAGCTTTGCCAAATTTCTTTTCTGACGTCTTAGTTTTGATAATATACATTTTAGAAATTGACATTGACATTTTTGTTTGAAGAAATAACAGTTGGAACATGTGAATCCACAGGTCATGTGATCAGCTGCGGTGTATATCATGTGACTTCCGGGTGCTGATGTTTGATGATTGTGAGTGGGACCCCTCGTGTGACTACCTGTTCTTAAGGTGAGTCTGAATTATTCTCCCCATGGTGTTCTCTAACAGAAACAAAAGATAAATGCGACCCACTTATTTGCACAGAGATGCATCATCATCTCGATGTATATTCCAGTTATTGTTCATGGAGCCAATTTACTTTCTTTTACTTCTCTTTAACCAGGAAGCATAGTAAGTCACCTGCTCTCAAGCAGATGAAAACACATCATTATCTCCAACAGTATAAAACAAGAGTGTTGATTATCACAAGAGGTGACGATCAGTCACCACGAATGCAGTTGTTTTAAGCTGTACTTTACAAACTTGATAAATAGAAACTGTCATTTTTTGGTGATCAAGAATGACTAGCAGGTTCTATCAAATTTGCGTTACCACTTTTTGACTTAGCTTTTTTTCATCCTATATTTGCGATCAAGTCTTTCAAGGTGAGCTCCTTCCTAACTAAATGGTTAATAAGTGGGTTTTTTTTACCTTACATGAGCTTCACCTCACCTTTCCAGAGGTCAGAGACGAGCCAGACTACCAGAGTCTGCTCCACATCCTTCCTGTTGTGGTGGATGTCACCCCTTTGGTTGTGTTCTGACAGGATACAGCACTGTGTGAATTTTAATATGTCAACGGGACTCACACTACCAGTGCTTTTTGGAAATTGAAGTGGTGTGTTTGTGACAGGTTTGGTCCTTCTTCATTGTAGCCAGTAGGTGGCAGCCTTTACCCATAAAGCTGATATTTTTCTTCCTTGCTACTTTTCCCAACAGTCTTAAAAGCAAGGGGAGGTTAGTAAAAACCTGAATTTTCGAAGAGATGAGCATGTTTGTAAATCATGTCAGAAGCTCATTAAGCCACCCACATGCAAGCTAAAACATAACAGCAGTTCCATTTTACTCCCTATGGGAACAATTCTCTATCTGCTGGTTAGCATGACTGGAATATAAAAAAAGCTGAATTATTATTTTACACCATCTTGTGACTGCTTACCTTTAAGAGCCTAAAGCAGAGATTTTTTAGTGGTAGAAATATAAATATTGACTTATTTTGACACTTTTCTCATGTATAACTGTTTTTTTTTAAATATGTTTTTATCGTTTTTAGACAGAATCTTATTTGAGTTCATGTTTTTTTCATAAAATCTTTCCTGTTTATTCTAAGCCTGAATTTAGGAAACTTGTGTGTCTGAAGCAACAAAGTGTTGTTTTATTTTAGGGGGACCCATAATGGTCTGATGAGTAAAAAGTGGTAGAGGGAGCATTGTCCGTTAAACTGATATGTATATTTTTTAGGTTGGTTAGTTAAAATGTTGTTAAATTCCCGAAAATATGATGATATATCTGTCCTCAGCTTGTTTTGGGAGCTGGCCTCACCAAATGAGTTGTCGTGGTTGAGGTGGCGGCCTCTAATCAGTGACGGGTTCCTCTGGATCAAAAGAGGCAGGAGACAGATGAAGTCAGATTATTATCCCAGAATTGATGGTTTCCTTTAGCTTTACTTGGCAGGCAGTTTCACACCATTGTCCGTGATGGATTGCCTGAACAGGTGTGAAACATTTCTATTGAGTGTTTTGACACATGGATTATGTGTAGAAGGTAAGCCTGTTGTCCTATATTTGTTTAATGTGTTTTACAAACAGCGTTATGTTATGTTCCACCTTTAAAGTTGAATTGACCTAATAAAGTGGTTGCTGGAGCTGCTTTACTTGCACATTGATGGGTGGAAATCTCAGTTTTGACAGCACTGACGGGGGATGTTGGTGAACGAGGTCTGGGCCGTAATAATGTTAGTATTCTGTGATCGTGCACTTCGCTGTCACTCAGGAGCCCGTGGTCCTGGCTGTGTACTGCATTTGTAAAGAGGTGGGATTTTTTTGTAATACCAGGACAGAAAAACTCATGGCGTTCATGTGCGTGTAGCTTTAGTTGTTTTTTAATTTTGAACTCTGAGGACAAAAAAAGAGGGACAGACATAAATGTTTAAATGAGGCATGTCTCTCTTCAGTCTCATTCACATTGTTGCAAGTGTTGTTTTTTACATGAAGCATGACATAAATTGCTCAGCTCAAAGCCTCCCTCCTTCCCCCTTGCCACCTAACCGTGCAGTCACAGCTCAGATGCCCCCCTTTTTTAACATTACAGAGGAGATATGGCTCAGATAAGGACACACAAATAAGTTCTGAGCAGTTCTGATGTTTTAGTACTGCAGTTCCTACAATAAAGTTAGTTTAATGTAGTGGGTTTTTTGTGGGTCATTTTTCCCCCTTTTCTGGTCCTTTGGTCGACAAGTTTCAAATGGCGATTTGATTGCAATTCATCCCTGCCTGCATTGCAATCAAATCATTGTCTCAGAAAATGCAAATTTTTGTTGTGGTGTGAATCATGGTGGCAGAGAAAGGTTTGAACAAAACACTCCTGTTCCCATGTACAAATGAGATCTAAATGAGATGTAAATAAGATGGGAATGTGTTAGATTTGCTGGGGAAAAAAAGAAAAATGTATTCAAAGCAGCTGGAAACTGTTAGAAAGAAACTGCTAGTGCTCTCAAATGTTCTGGCAATACAAGGACTGAGCAGCTGTTTCCAGATGTTGTCATGCTTCTAGCTGTTAAACTGAAGACAAAGCGAATCCGTTTCTGTTTGTTTTCAGAAATCCTGACCAAGTTACTCAGAACGAGCAGAAAACTTTCAGAGTTACTTGACCACGAGTCAGACATTCACACCAGCTGAAACCGTTCGCATCCGAACTACTGACATTTTATCACCAAGCTTTTTTTTTTCTCTGTAAGTGTGCAATTTGCTTTTGGTTTGACTTTAAGTTCAGAGCACTTGGAGACACTCAGGAGCACTTCAGATGATGAGTTTGCCCTTCGTGTTGTTGTCAGTTACGTCATCCAGGGCGCTGTCGTCCCTCAGCAGTGGTCGGCAGCCACGAGTACAGAGGAGAGAAAAACAAACCAGACTAAAGATGGGTAAAATGTGTGTTTACTTTTGCAGCTTTTAAATGAGAATTTGGAGCAGAAATTTTTACAGCCTGAACTTAAAAAAAAAAATTAAGGTTAGGTCTCTCTCTTCAAGACTATAGTGAAAATCTCTGATTAGAGGTCTTAAAACACATTTAACTGAAGTTCAGCATGGTGCACTCTTAACTTATTTGTAATAAAAAAATGTATCTTATTTTATCTATCTTGTCAAATAACAGAGTGAGGATTTTTTTTCTTTTGATGAACCTGAGTTGGTACTTTATTAATTTGGTTAATTTACATTTCATCATACCGTTACAATGTGATTGCAAAACTTACTGATTACACATCTAGTGACGGGCTCAGTGTTGTTTTCTGGAAAAGCAAATATAAGCATGTCTATTTTCATAAAGACGATTTGCCACTGACCATTTGAATGAATAATTCTATGCATCAGTGTTGTTGACTTTAATTTATATGCTGCTTTCCAAAGGTGAACAGATCTTCTTTTAAAAACCTTTTACATGCTGAAAACATTTGTTCCCCTGTTTGTATTTTCAGGGGCAGCTAAATACACCAGAAAGCGAAAAGGGCATTAAGAGCTCTTCCGGTTCCTTTTAGCTCTGTAGTTTTCTTTCCGAAAGTGCACTTTTTATTGAAGATGAACTGAACTGAATAAATAAATATCAGACTTTTTTCTTTAATGCAGAAATAATCAGGATTATTAGTGAGTTAAAAAGCCTTTAGCAAATTATTTGTAGTGCAAATTAATTTTCCAGAAATTACTAAAGCTTTCACTATTCATATAACAAATGAGTACTGGAACATAGTAGTTACACAACTGTGATATGAGTGGGTTCTTGGGAATAATGTTTTGGCAGATGCCAACATGTGGCCCCGAACTACCTTTCTGATGTGAAATATGTAATGAAATCTGAGGATGAAAACATCTGTGTTTGTACCAACAGCTCGGTAGGAATTTGCCTCAGTTTACTCTTTTGTTTGGTGTTCCTGATACTAGAGTTGAGCTGCCCAGGTGCTTTTTGACTGGAAACTGATGTAGTCTTCATAGGCCGGTTTCAGACCTCCAGCTAAATTTTTCAGCTAAATACTGTTTTTGGACTGAGTATTTGGTCAAAGTTCCTCAGTTATCTTAGGTAGCAGAAACCTACTCATTCCTAGTGTTTTAGCTCACTTGGAAGACTATTCATTTATAAATCGCATGATCAGTTTAGAGATCATTGCCACCTATTGTCATATGTTTTCTTTTTTTGTGTCTTTTGGTAATAGATGGTTGACTTTTGACTGATTTCTGAGATGTGGGGCAGAATCCTGTTAAAGGCTTTGTGGTTTTTATTTACTCAGACGAGTAAAAAATTCAGCAATGGGCCGCTGGCTGGCTGCAACAAGGACCTTCAATAACTGAGTTCAGCCATTTGGAGAAACCTATTTACCGTTTGTCTGAAGCTTCAACATATGACAAATGACTTTAATCATCTTATTTCTGCGGACAGGCTTTTTTTTTAGTTCGATAGCACAAGCCTTAACCCCCTTCCTGTGTCCACCCTTCTGTTTGTAGGAACAACATGCCAGACCGTCAGAAGCTCAGAACCAAGTTGAGGAAGAGGAGGGGCTTGCGGGCGTACGCCTGCCAGTGCAGCTGGTTGTCCATGTCAGAGCCGGCAGACGTCAGGGAGCAACCTCAGCTCAGATGGGTCTGTGGCAAACACCAGGACTGACGTCTGTTAGGCTGCCCACCAGGGGACCAAAGCACACAATTCTCCCTCTGACTGTTAAGCATTTAACAGATCTTTCACCATCTTTTAGGCCATGAAGACTCTATTGAAATCTTGTTGTTGATAAAAGTGGTTCAAAGGTCATGTACCCACAGGTTATGTGTTTTGTAAATTATCCTTTGATAGGATGGTCCCCAGTCTGTCCTTTGAGACATCAGATGTGGAGTTTGTTCTGTAAGTGAGGTGGACTCAGCTACGGGAACATTATTCAGTGGTATAACAAGCTGTTTTGTACCACCTGCGAATCATTGATTGATAACTTTTCTTTGTAAAATGACCCTTTGCTGAGCAATCACCTGAACTCATTTAAAGCCGCGTGAAGTTGAGCCACAGATTCAGTCAATTATGCTCCCCAATTCAAATGTATGATGAAATATAACATGATATTCGTTAGAAACACTTTTACGATAAAACAAAGATTCAGATCATATGGAAAGACATTTTCAAATATTTGCTGTTTCGCGTTGGCACACGTGGTTTAAGATTATGCTGTAAAATTGCAATTGTAACTGCCATGTATTGTTGTCTAAGTCAGTGACTTCTCCAGATGTCTGTTATATAAACTTTTTTTAATTCCCAGATGTTTGTCTTCAAACAATTTCATTGTTAATATTTCTTTGTTTTTTTTCCCTCTCGTAAATGTCACATTGGCAGGTTTCATCAGCGGTGTTCGTATTTTCCTCGTATCTATATTTCGTTTCGCTCTGTTTGTCGGTGTGTCCAACAGGCTGGCTGTCAGGCGGGCTTTTAACAAACCCGACTCATCCTGCTATTGATGATCAAAGTTCCAGAGAAGCTGCAGTTTCCTGCCCTCGAGTTCTTGTCGGCTTTTGAGGTGATGACAGACCGATGAAATGTTTATTCAGTGCTTTAAAGTCAAGTCACCGTTTAAAGAGATCAAATCTTTCTGATTAGCTGCTAATACAAGCAAATCCCACAGAGTAGCAGCTGCTGTAAAATGACTCAATAAGGGTGTAAATCACTGTGAGCGGTCAATTAGATTAGAAAAGAGTGACATTTAATCTATGAACATTAAGTGGAGAGAGAGACGATTTATCATTCAGTATAAAAACAAGCGCACTTGTGTTAAGCTACAGTTTTAACCCAATTAAACAGTTTAAATAGATCTGTCCTAGTTCCAGCACACACACGGGCCCTTTACTGACCATTCCACTGTTGTTTGCAGCGTGTGTCCTCGGTTTGTTATTATAGGCTTTTTCCCATTGGCCTGTTGGGTTTGTGTTAACTCAGACAGCCTTTCTGCTCTATACATGTCAGATGTTTGCCTTTTTTAATGAGGTGCGTGTATGTGTGTGTGTGTGTGTTACCTGTTGTGGATATTTTCTGTTGTTCTGTGTGATGGCATGCTGTTACTTCTAGATCTGAAGGCTAAAAGGGAACAATGGGACATTTTTGGCCAATTGAAAGTCTTAAGCGACCGCTGAATAGTAAAATAATGGTACTAAAATACTACTAAAAGTAGTTATTTTCCTGAACTCTTTGAAAACATCTTAAGTCTATAGAGAATTGAGGAGAAATGGTAAAATGAAGCTGTGACGTAGGTGAGATACTTTATGATTCTTTCACTTTCACACCTTCTTAAAATAGACCATTCAACTTGACCCTGTTAAACATAAAGTGCAAAAGAAAGTTTGATCGATAGTTTTCCAACAAAGAGGTTCAGATCAACATGTTCAGTCTAGGATGTGCTGACAGAAACCTTTGATTTATTTACTCCTAGCTCTATTCAAAGTTGTGGTAGCTGTATCTGTGGCATAGTTTTAAAAATGTCCTCGTGCTGCCTCAGAAATGTGACTGTAGCGTCCACATTAGCTGTTTTGTTTAGTTTTCCACAGAAAACAAAAATTGGTCTTTCAATCAGTGAAACCAGTCAGAACTGTCTCCAGCGGAGGATAAAGCATTAATACGATCCAAGTAGCTACTCAAACTTGGGTAACACCTCTGAGTAAAACCTCTTCTGTCTCAAATTTATGCAAATGATGAGGGACTTATATTCTATCTACTTTGCATACGCTTTTTTCCCCCTGCACTGAACAACGAAGTGTTATGTAAACTGTATGCAGATATCCATGAGGCACTGAACCAGGAAAGGAAAAGGCACTGGAACATAGTTTCAACACCAGATGAGAGGAAACTGCTTGTAAGTCAAGCAAACTTTGTAAGATTTTTTTCTACAAAAAAACGGAATCACATCCAACATTTTTTAATCATACAAACTCACCGTGAGTTCAAATATATCCACCCACTCCTTCTCCGTTCTTCATCGGTTTTCAGTTTGTCTCTTCCAGACAGAGACAGAGATTTAATCATGAGCTGTAAGCGACGCCTGAGCCGGATCACAAACAAACAGCGGCGGTGCATGACCTGCGTCCTACATGCTGTCTGGGAGCCCTGGCACCGCCAACGTACAGATACGCACCACCTCATTAGAGGATGCCCTTTTTCCATGGGTGTGTTGTTAGTAGCCATGGACAGATTTTACATTTCTGTATGTTTCATGCACTCAGCATTGCAGCCGCTGTGTCCGACACGCCCACAACCTGCTGTGTCACACCGCATCATCCCACCCAACAGAATGAATGTCCAAAATCATACAAAGTTAGCTCGCCTTAAAAGCAGTTTTCTCTCATCTGGTGTTGAAACTATGTTCCAGTGCCTTTTCCTTGCCTGGTTCAGTGCCTCATGGATATCTGCATACAGTTTACATAACACTTCGTTGTTCAGTGCAGTGGAAAAAAAAGCTTATGCAAAGTAGATAGAATATAAGTCCCTCATCATTTGCATAAATTTGACACAGAAGAGGTTTTTACTCGGGGGTGCTACCCAAGTTTGAGTAGCTACTTGGATCGTATTGATGCGTTATCCTCCGCTGGAGACAGCTCTGACTGGTTTAACTGATCGTCAGACCATTATGGTATCTGAAAAACAAAGGCCTTCCTGCTACGAGTGGGAAATTACAGCGGTGGGAGGAAGCGTGCCAGATCCCCGATGAACTGAGCAGCGACAGCCAATATGAAAGTGGCTGCTCTTTGTGTTGTTGGATTGGCTCCGTTACAGATTAGAGCTGGCTGTTAGAGCCAGTTTAAAGTATGCCATGTAAAATGTGTTCAATGACCTGTCGTGGTTTCACCAAATGCTGTTTAAATTCAACACGGACAGCGGTCAGCCAGCCCCCAGAGGGTATCATGGACACAAAATTCCAGACAGAGAATTCAAACCCAGATTAACACCATTTATCAAGGAAGAGTATTTACATGCTTATCAGAATACCTTTTTTCTGTTATAGTTATACAAACATTCCCCGACACTTGTATCAAGTAATTAAAAAATAATGAGAGAAAATGCCAGTATTTCAAAGTTCAGTGTTGGTTCTTGAACCATTAGCAATATTTTATATACATAGAAAATAATTGTCGGATCTGGTGACTCTGGTGAATCCCGTCATCCGAGCTGGATGGTTTATTTTTTGTGTTTTGTTATGTTTTTTTGTAGATGTCTGAAAAGTGAACGGGTGAGAGTGTTGTTCAGGTGGACCGCTGCAGCTTTTCATCTCCGTCTGACACAGCGGTCAACTGAGAGACTGCAAGCCTGCCGAGGGGAATGTTTTTCTACAGGTGACAGGTACATTTGTTTTGGAAAGGGACAGAGAACTTTTGTTGGTGAACAACCTGCCAGGGTTATTGTCGAACAAGCTGAAACAAGTCATGGTGCTCGTCGGCTGCAAGGGGACTTTGTAGGCATGGATAGTATGAGGCCTTGTTAGAGGAATGCATCTGTATTTCTGAATGAAAGTGTAATATTAACTTTAAAAATGACTTAATGTCCAAAGTATCAAACATGTCGCATATTTTTTAGTGTCACTTTAACTCACCAAAGACACCTTAATTTTTCTGCCAGCGGATGTTGTATTCCTAATTAAAAGAGCCCTTTCCATGTTCGAACACACTTCCTCTTGTCATAATCTCACTGGGACATTTCCATAGCAACTGATCGGCTCTACAGAGGTGAGACCAAGTGTGCTCCAAGAAACTGAGAGAAAGCAGATTTGTTTGATTCCAAAAAAGCACAAGTCATTCAGCAAAATCCTCTTGGGTTTTGTTTGTGTTTCTGTAAAAAGGCTAATCCAAAACTTTAGCTCAAAGTCCTTCACCAGTCGCATTCAATTTGGGGAATGTCTTAACACACAGTATTTGATTGAGAGGTAGAGTGTGTTAAAAGGTCCTTGTTGTATTGTAGACACAAAGGTGTCACTAAGCAAGTGCTGTACTTTGCCGGAACAAAAGCAGCTCTGCTCTTGTCTTTTTGGTGAACACAGGCTGATGAGTGTCAAATTATTTCCTGCATCTTGAATGAATTTACAGCGTCGTGCAGCAAACGAAGAGATTCAACTTCTCAGTGATGAGCACTGCTTTGGGGCCCGCTTTTTTAATTAAAAGCAGGCAAGCAGAGGAACACAGTAGCCTCTGAACTGTCAATCTCTACTCTGTGACTGCAATAAATCGGTAATTAGGTTTTAAAAAAATATTTTTTAATCAGAACCTGATCAGCAATAAACTGCTGCTTTAAGACCAAAAGTTGCTTGTGTGCGGCACCTTTTTCTTCACCTTGGTAATTTGCTGGTCTCAACTTAATCTAGCCATGCAATTAGACATGCAGCTGTAGCTTTTCCCTCGCCCCACCGGTGAGCCTCCCTGCAGATTGAGGCCGGTTCTGGTTCTGTGCCGACAGCTTTGACGGCCTCGCCGTGCGCAGGGCTGCTGCTTTGGGACTTTTTGGCAGCGCTGTGCGGGGGTTCAGTGATCGTGCTCCAATTGCTTGGTGGGTTTCTGGGACCCAGACCCTAAGACCCTGATGTTTGATAGCGGCTTGGTTTAATCGGCATTACATTTTGATTGTTGCAATTTCAGTATAAAAAACACGCTGATTTTAGTATGTGTCAGCCCTATTATGTGTGGTAAGAATATATCCACCTTTTTGAGCTGTTATACTAACTGAAACTGCAAATGGGCAACTAACACCATGCCACACAGTGCTCTATACTCTCCTCCATTACTGGCATCCCCAGTGTACACCCTGTGCAGTTTGTTTTCTTCTGATTTTGCTGTATTTTTGTAGATTATTTCAAATGACGTTTCGGTGTCCTTTCGTATTTTCATCCAAACCCATAAGCCTGACTTTTGAGAGGCCCAGACCTGTCACACGGTGTTCCCAGGGACACAAACCGTCTTTTTAAAAGCAGAAAAACTCCTTCACGGGACTATGAAGTATTTAACTTCTCCGTCTGATGAGTTGATTTCATGCCGCAGGACAGCAGATCACACATCCCCTGGTGTCTGCATGCTGTCATCCTGACTCTGCTGGATTCTATGTTTCCAAAAGGAAGCCACAGTTCTATAAATGTGTCCGCGGTTCTTGCCCATCAGACAGCAGGAAAAACAGAATGACAGGGCCACTGAAGAGGAGGAGGGAGAGAAGAAAACACCAGCTGCAGGAATGGAGCTCTGCACGGCGTGGGAAGGACACCGTCACCAATCTGTCCGCATGGGAACAGAGGGCCGAGAAAAGCCGCACCGATTGTAGCCGTCAGTATATTTTCATTCTTTTACGTCCGGTCATGATGTCATAAAAGATCACAATTTACTCTGCCAACCGGAGGTAAAGATGTTGTCACATATAAAGCCACAGAACAGTATGTGAAACTTACCGACCATTCTGACCGATTTAAATGATCTGAACCGTGAGGGCTGAGGACACAGATTAGGTTTCCTCGGCTCAAAATCCGTCAGAAGACGCGTTGGAATCGCTCTGCTGATAGCTTCAGGCTCATCTCATTTGTCTAATTTGTGCCTCCTCGTCTGCTCTGTCTGTTCGTATCTGACCTTCAAATTGATTTACGAAAAAATAGTTTTGAAGGATGTCAGTCTCATCTCCGCAGAGCATCGGTGATGGTGATGGTGTGCGGGACGCAGCTGCGTCTTCGTCACCGATGCCGGTTTTAAGCAGCAGCTCAGAAACTGAAACGTCTTGTCTGCTTAAATGCTTGACCCTCAGTTTTTCTGCCTATGCTTTTTAAATCTTGCATTCTGTTAGATGCCCTGCATATAATGTTTGGCTAATTGAAGTGTGATGTGTGCGTATGGGCCTCAGAAGCCCAAAAGCCCCAAAAAAGCTGGATGTGTCGTTTTGTATAGATGATGCTCATATGAACCTGGGTTTTATTGTGATTCCATTCTCTTCTAACATGTGTTTCTTCTTTGTGAGTTCATTACGTTTCCACAGCCACCTGAAGGCAGCATGCTGATAGCTGTGTATTTAAAGCGGAGCAACCTCACTGAGCACTGTGTTTACCTTCATCAAATCATGTCAAAATGATGCCATCATAACCGCACGCACACACCTCGACACACACCTGCTGGTCTGCTGGAATCCATCAGCTTGTTACCGTGGAGACGGTGGGAAACCGGAGCTCATTAATCCCGAAGATCAGGACCCGCTACTCCACTTCTTGTGCCACTGGCAGTGTTTTAGGCTTTATTCTGAACAAAAATAGGACAAGAATGAGCAGAAATTAGACTGTAAAGCTGAATGACAATATGATTTGAAGCCATAAAGCACGCCATTCAATTTCTTTTGCCCTTCTGTGATTGGCTCTCTGCACAAATGAATGCTAATTGGTTTAGTGAGGGGCAATAAATCTCTCTTTGTGGAGCAGTGGATAATATTATCCAGAAAACAAAGCTTCATTGAGCCTGCTGCACTGGATGTGTGTGTTTCCTGTTAAAAAGCTGGAGTCTGATGCAATAGTTGTGTATCAGTGACTGCTGGTTGTGTTATTACCATATCAATTCTACCTCTGCAGGGTCTTTTTCTCGAAACTTTCAGGGATGATTGCATTCATTACATTTATTTTATATTTGGCTGTTTCTGTTGATTTTGTGACCCCAAAGCTTATATCTCATATTTGTAACAACTTGTGATGCAAATAGTAATAGATGGAAACATAACAAGAGGAGTTTTGAGAAATCTCTGCATCCATTCTTTTTCCTGGAACAAAAATCAGTCTGACATAATGAGACACGGATGGGGCTGATGTGGTCATTTATAGATGTGAAAGAGAAGCATCTATTTTGGAATCCTGTCCAAATCATTTCAGGTTCCCCGGGGTGTGGAGCCTGGACAGATCCAAGTATCTATAGACAGACCTGTTTATGGTCGGTTTTACTCCTTTACTCAGTACAAGGAAAGGAGGAAAACACCTGAAACCTTTAGGCTAAAAAAATCTGTCATGATGAGAACTTTTGAGGCCCTTTTTCATTTGATTACAGTTTTTTCTTTACACCTTGCTATGATTGATTTCTCCTCAGCTTGTAATGATGTTCAACTGAGAGGATGAAAATCCATTTGATCGACCCTGCACGATGGATTTGGGAGGTCACCACATGTGAGTAGTTTTGGTCCGGCCTTCTTTTTTCCTGACTGGTCCACTGCAAAGGTGTATTCTGTCACATCTTACCAGTGTTTTAGCCTTTATCATATCAATTCCAACAGAGCAACCCTATTGTGATTGTGCCTCTCTTGATAAGTACTAAGTGTGGACTGTCAGTGGGGGTGGATTCACTGTCGGAGGTCCTTTTAAAGTGCGAATCACCGGGGAAACCGTGGGCTGGTGCAGGGTTAGCTAACTTTAGAGAGTCCAAGTTGATTTAACTGATTTATTTGTTTTCCTATTTATTTTTAATTGGGAAAACATTTCTATTCTGTTGTCACATCGGCTTTAACTTTTGACACTCATCAGTGGGTAAGGGTAGTCAGTTTCCTGTGGATCCTCCTCATCATTCCCTGTACAAAGAACTTGTTTCTCCTCTAGGCTGCAGACATCTTCTGCCTTTTTTAGGACCAGCACACTCCATCTGTTCCAGCTGCTGCTCATTTCCTTGATTAAACCTCGCGGGGATTTAATTGTATAGCTCTACCATTTATTCACTCAGTATGTCACATAGTGTTTGATGGATGTAGGGCCCTGCTGGCTGACCAGCTAATTGCCCCTTGGGGACAAAAAAAAAAAGATGTCCTTGGCCTTTCAATCCTCGATCACTTTTATTCAACTGAACACCTTTGGTGTATTTTAAAGTGAGGATCAGGTGATGAAAAAATGCCCCGAAGAAAGCAGCTGGACGGAAGCAGCCATCAGTTGTGTTGGGTCTGAACTGTTCTGCGGGGCGCCTCCTTGCCAGCGTGACCTGTCTCGACTGACTACTTAATTATACATATGATTGAATTATCCACACCTCATTTATTTTAGGGTAATAAATTTGAATGATTTCACATGTTAATGAAATTGCCAAGATAGAACAAAATTAAAGACGTATTGGCATTTTTCATGAGCTAATGAAAACAAAACAGTTGCATCTTTTAAGAATGCAGCTCAAATGTTTTATATGGCTTTCTAAGTCCAGAAATGACTTATATAAGGTTTATTGTTAATTAATTTAACTTTATCAACACAAAATGATCTGAAAATGTTTTTTAAAACTTGTGGGAAGTTGATAAATCCACAACATCTTTTCAAATATCTGAAATGAAAACAGTCTGGGTGTTGATTTTTACAAAGAATGGTCGATGTCTAACAGTATAGGCACATTTTAATGTTGACTGTAACACATTTTCTTTCTTTTATTGAAGACTATTGAGCAGACCCTGTTGATGTACTGTACATGTTCCTGGCAGTGGCGGCTTTTTACCTGCAGAAACTCCACACCGGCAGGGGGCGCTGTCGCCCTCCGTCCACAATCCGAACTGAGAGCAGCAGCTGAGGTAAAAACCGAGGAAGTGGATCAACAACATCACGCCTGCAGTTGAATGAAGTGGAGGGAGAGATGGAAAGCACAGAGTTTGAGGATATTTTGGACGACTGGTTTATCGAGTCCCTGAAAACGTGAGTCAATCCTCATTTCTTTTATCGAGCAGCCTCTGGTGTCATGCTTTTAGGACCGACGCTCGCGTTTCAATGCAATTTTTTTCATTTTATTTGTTCTGCTCACCTGCAAAGTTTTACTCCCCTTTAAGACTTCACTGAAGTATAAATCTGTATTCATTGTATTCATTTAAAATTCGGCTGCTCATATTTGACCAAGCATTACATAATGTCGTCAAAACCTAATTTAAGTAGTGTTAACTCCAACATAAACCGCACTGAGCAACAAGCAAACTGGATGAGTTTTTAAAAAATGTAGACAATCTGAAGACGAATTAAATTAAGAGTCAGACAAACAACTGTTTGCTTTTAGTAGGCAGAAATTGCTCTTAATCTAAATTGAAAACACTCTTTTGGCTAACTAAACCTGAAACTTTTTTGTAAAGAATGTAGATATAAACAACAATTATCTGCACATAACTGCAGGGAAGTAATTAGTTTTGCATGGAGGCTAAACCAAGGGTTTAGTTGTATTTGGTCAGACTAAAGTCTAGACATCTCTTTGTTACATTTGCATGAGGGAGATCTATGATCTCACTGTGTTTTTGTTTTCCACTTTATTCTGCTGTTATATTCCATCCGTAGATTATTCAATTTACAGTTTGTGGCATTAACACTGTTTTGATCTGGTTCGTTTAGGTATAAAGATCTTCATGTGTATCAGCTGGAACATCCCACCCAGGTCATTGAGTGGACATCGAAGAAGAGTTAGTGGATTTAGTTGATTAAACGAGAGCCAGTTTATGTTAACTGACAACAATGTAAATTTTTTGTGTGTGTGTTCATTTGTTTGTTTTTTGTACAATGATTATGTCCACACGCATTTATACTGATGGATGACAAACCCATCAGGCCGTATTTTCGTACTTCGACTAATCATATTTATGCTTGCTGTGTTTTCAGCTGTGTGTGTCGCCGGCTTCAGTTCATCCAGAAATGAGATTCTGGAGCTCCGTTTGCCTCTGAAACTTTTCGCTGATGAAAATAAGGTAAAAATCTGTGCATGGAAACAGTGCGTTTTTTTTATTTTATCAGGGGGCGCCTGTCACTGAGTCTTTGCTGTGTCTGGTGGTGAGTTCAGGGTCTCTGCGCAGAACGGGATTTCAAAGTTGTCCGCGGTGGCTTTGCGGACGGCCCCGTTTGCTGCCTCAGACACATCCCAGGAACCAGGTGACACACAGTTTGGCCTCTATCTCACCTCTCTATACTGATGGGATTCACAGCCTTTTAAAAAACTTGTTTTTATGGGATTCTTGAGCTGATGGCTGATGCTGTCTTCACTCCCCTGAAACGTTGGGGGACGCTGTAGGTTGTTCATTGTGTGGTTTTGAGAGCGACTGTCTCGTTCTTGTGTCTAAGAGGTTATTTGCTGTTCTGTCAGGTGTGCTGTGACCAATGATGGGCGGAGCTCCGACCTGCAGGTGTGGGACCTGGGAGGGGACGACAGCAGTGAGTTTTCTTTACGGTCTGACTTCCCCCGATGTGGAGAATCACCTTGATATCAGCAGGACATGGTCCCCTCTTCTTTTTGGGACGGGAGAGTGGTGGCCATTCACCCCCTCAGCTCGGGCTTTTGGGTGGGAAGCTGACCACCGGCCCGAGCTTGTGGGCCAGATGGTGAAGCTTTGGTCTGGTCTTCGTGTGGTGAGCCACCTGCTGGGTTTCGTCCTCTGGGCAGATGTGATCAAGAAAGTGGAGACCATCGCTGGCGGGGGGAAGGGCTCAGAGACGGGCAGCCGGATAGCAGCTCGACCCTGGCCGGAGCCGCAGGTCCTCCATGGAGCTCGGAGCGGCGATGTCCAGCTGACGCAGCTCACATCTGGACAGACGCTGTATAAACTGGGTACGCCTGCTACTGCTCAGCGATGCTGGACGGTTCGGTCCCGCAGCAGTGGCAGTTTACTCAGTTTTCTTTTTCTCACAGAGGCCGACTCAGCCGACCCCCTGAGCTCTTTACAGTTTGTGGACGACGCGGTTTTCGTGGCCGGCTGCCTCAACGGCAGCGCGTACGTCGCAGACACGCGGACGGCCGGAGCCCCTCAGCTCTCCCCCCCGCCAGAGCCTCCAGGCCCATCGGGCCTCTGGTGGACAGACGCCTCCGCCGGCCAGCAGCGGTCCGGCTGCAGGCTGGTCAGGCTGTCCTCGTGCGGGCAGGCAGTGATTTCAGACACGAGGAATCTGGGAGAGGCCGTGAGTCGGGCTCAGCTGGACGTCCAAACGCATCAGCCCAGACCGCATGACGTCAGAGTGTCGTGGGCCCCGGCGCTGGCGGACTGCGTCTCAGTATCAGGTCGGTTTAAACAGACACAGCGACCCGGGTCCTCATACTGAACTGTGAACACAAACCAAACCTGTTACTAAACAGTTCCATCCCCATGCTTTGAGGAGGATGTGTTTTAGTGCTGGTATGGTGAGCGTAACACCAGTATGCAGCTGAATTTAATCTGAAGTCTAAAAACGGGTGCGAGTCTGACTGAGATGGACTGCAGAGACGGTCTGAGGCGTTTTGCTCAGCTTTAACTGGAAACTTTGTCTTGGGGGGTGGTTTTGGGATCCCCGGCTAACGTGTCTCTGTGAGTTTTGGTCACAAAAGGATGGTTTTTATAGTGCTGAAAGCATCTTTAAATCTCAGTAGACGTCCTGGACTCCTGAAAGGGGCTCTGAAAAACAGCTTATTTCCAGCCTGAACAGCCATCTGCGTTCTTTGAAGTCTCAAATCATTAAAGCTTTGTCTAAATATAAAAAACTGACCCCCCTCACCAGGGTTCGGTGGAGCCGTTCAGATCTACGACACGTCTGCCTGGACCTCGGAGCGGCTGGACGCTCAGCCGCTGTTCCAGCATCGCGGACACGCCGTCTCGTCTCGGCCGGACGACGGCTGCCCCCCCGCCACCGTCACCTCCCACGTCTGGCACCCCGAGTGGCGCCGGACGCTGCTGTCCGCAGCCTCCGACGGCTCCCTTCACGTCTGGGACTGGGTCCACCCAGAGGGAGCGGCCGCCCTCCGTCCCACACCGGACGCAAAGTGAAGTGAGTTCAGAGTTTAGAGTCTGGTCACACAATGTCAGAGGCTCCGACACACAACCCGGGGCTGAGCGACAAAATGAACGTCTGGTGGGTCTAAACTGTCTGCATCTTCAAGAGGCGATTTGACACGAATATAATTGTGGGGAGGAAAAGAGCGACTAGATCAAAACGTGGAGGCAGAACATTGCTTTTGTAAATGGAAAATAAATTACAGTTGGATCGAATTGAAAACCGCTCTCATTTGAATACAGATGAATGCAACACCGACAGGTCGAGATCGTGACACGACCTGTGGCTTAAGTTTCTGTACAGACGTTCTACACAGAGAGAGCGTGTTGCAGCAAGAGCAGCTCTGATGTTTGGTCAGTGGCTACAGGATGCGGGCAGGGACAAAAAGACTCTGAAAAGGACTGAATAGTTTTAGCTGTAACCCTAAGAGTTGCAGACTAGATTAAATCCACACTCCTGTTTACGTTTGACTGACTGATCAGAGAAGCAGATTAGATGCAGACAGATTTTTTCTTTTGCAATGATGGTATGGAATAAAAGACGCTGTTTACATATCCTCTGAGTAGCAGCAGAAAAGAAACCGCCCCTCCTTTATCAAAAACTAACACCATCATCGACCATCCTCAGTTACTTTTAGACCTTTTTATAATCCCCAGCCTTTTTTTTTTTTTCCTCCAACACCCGGCAAAAGATCAAGTCACTTTGGAACAAACTTGAGTGATGTTGGCTTTCTTTTTCTCCTTTTGATCGGAGATTGTGGTAAACGTCCGTTTCCAGGGTGATGGAGAGGAAAACCTGAGGCCTCCTGCCACCTACAATATAAAAATGTGCCGGTAAAGGTAAAACGTCTGTGGCAAAGTGCAGAAGATCGACCGTGTGGCCGCGACTCAAATCCAAATCCCACACAGCCCGTCTGCAGAGAAATACCGTCGGAATGTGCTGGAGAAGGAAAAAACACAAAACCAAACAACTAGATCATCAAGGCCCTCATCAACATTGAAAAGGTTTTTTTAGTTTATCCAGATCTGATCACACTAACAGTGTGTGGCTGACTTCTACCGGAGCATTCCACATATTTTGTCAATATGACCTAAAGGGATCTTCCTGAACCTCATTCATCAAAATGTAGTTACACTCCAGCCGTCAACTATGTTGAATGTAGAAACGGCTGAATTGTTTTAGAAAACAGGGCACCAAGTTCAGTGTTTTTGTTTTCATTTGCTACAGTTTAATGTTTGTTTTTTCTTCCCCATAAAGCATATTAACCATCCAAAACAAAGCTAAACTGTTTTGCGTTGTTTCCATGGAGACTTGTGTTATTTGCTTATTCCATTCTTGGCTATTTGGTTTAAATGCATCCTCTCACAGAGTTTTGAGAGTTTCCATGCTGGTGAGGCAGCACTGCCCATTAACCATACGAACCAGTTTTTATTAGATTTATTATAACGCTACAACCTCTTGAATGCATCCGGATACTAACGTGTCGCACAACGTCTTCCTTTGTCGCGTTTCCTGCTTCCGCGTGAGTTCTGAGGACTGTTTTAGCTATGACAGAAACACAGACTCACACAGGGACAGAGAGCCCAGTCCTGCTGTTACAGCTGTTCAAAATATGGAAAACAAATTGGACATCCACAGCCTCCTCGGACTGTCTGACGGACAGTGGCCAGACAGATGTGCGTTTCCATGGCACCGGGCATCTCCCCCTCCTTCAAAGGAAAAAGCTTCATGAAATGGAAATCAGGCAGGCTAAACTTTATTTCATACTTTACCGCGCGTCCTTTCTCACATCCCGAAACGTTCCATTAGACTCACCTCCAACTCTAATGTCACTAAATGATGACAAATGGCCGCTCTGCCCGGCAGTGAGCTCCAATTTTCTCCGGCGCCCCCGAGTGTTTTTTCCTCCGTGCTTTATGCACATATATCAGAGGTGGGGGCAGATCTTTATTTTTAAGTCGCTGCTGTAAGCAGCCATCCGGATAACGGGTTATCCGTAGCAGCCCCTGACGTTAGCATACGTCAAACGCCGGCCATTTCATAATGACCCTGAACGCAGCACATCTGGGACCCGCCTTGCTTCACTTGCACAATTACGAAATCATTTTCTGATCATCTCCTGCATTACTGTGCCAAAATCCCCATTGATTAGAATGTATAATCAGCCTCGAGCCAATTACGTTCCCCTTAAACCAGCCATTAGAAAGCTCCTAACCTGATACTAGAAGATGGAGCTCCTTAAAAACACATTTTAATGGCTGCCTTTCCTGCTTTGTGACATTAGCGTTGGCTAAAACTAACTTTAAGTAACTTTCTCCCTTTCTGATACTGCTAACAGAACGACGTGGGGAGAGACTTTTCTTCCATTTTCAGAGGGGAAAATTTGCTATAAAAGAAGGATTTTTTGTTAAATTTAGCCACCTGTTAAAACATCACTTTTTTAAATCGGAACAGGTGAGCAGAAGAAGAGAATGGAGGAGGCAGAGCTGTGAAAGCTGAGGAACTGACCCGATCAGCAGCTTCACTAACCTTCAGTGCTCCCGTTTGGAGGCAGGAAAAAATAAAATAAAAAGCTCCTCCTACAACACTTATGCAAAACGCGAGCATTCGGAGACTTTTCGGAAAACGAATCCCGTTGGCAGATTGTTTGAAACTCGGACAGTTTGACCAGCAGCATCTACAGATCTTGTCCTGAAGGTTTTGGCCAGTTTAATTACCCTTCTCCCAACTCTGATACCAGCACCTGCACCAGATACTGAGAAAGAGTTTCAGATTCTGCTGGGATGGAAATGCAATGGAAATGAGGCAGTTGGATTCCTAAAGTCAAAGTTTTGAGATTTAACCGATTCTCTTAAAAGACGTATGAACAGAACCCTTGGCAGCAGCCTAAAAGATACAAGCAACACTACACTTAACCTCCCCCCCCAAAAAAATATCACTACTGTCAAAGTATTCATTTAACAATGAGACACTTAGTTTAAAAACCGAACAGAGGAGATGGTGATGAGAAACTGCCTTTTTTAGGACTGAGTGGATTCATTCTCTACAAAAACACACGACTTTCAGCTTTAAATCCATGGCAAACAAAGTGTGCCCCAAAAACTTTGGAGAAACTTTTAGAGTGCATGTTGGGAGGTAAATATAAAAGAGGCTTTTGGAATGAGCCAGGAGTCCATAATTACGCTGACGGACAGGGCGGCCATTATGGCAGATCCTCACCGTGAGTCACGCTCCCCCCGTGTGTGCGTGGGTTCTCAGGGGCCCGATAATGAACATCTACATGAAATATTAGCACCGAGAGAAAAATGACTCCATGGTTTGCTGAATATACGGACAGGAGACAGATATGTTTAACCGCCGTATTCCAATCCTATTCATTTCCCATCTGTTTACCATTTAATGTTCATGTTTACTTATTAATGACTTATTAATGGAATGGTTCCTCATTAATGCATTTATTCTTATTCTGGCAGTATTTCTTGGCATTCATTCCCTGAACTGGCTGCTTTGAAATGTGCTTTTAAGTTTAATCATTGAACATTTCTTCAAAATTTGGATTGATTTATTTGCTTTTTCTCCCTCATTCCTCCAAGGTGATTCCACGTTTTGTTCCGATATTTCTTTAAACATGTCTGCTTTGTTACTGAAATGAGGGGGTGTTCACTTTGGGCTTTATTTCAGAGGCATAATGGGCACTTTACGTTTACGTGTAGCCGCACTCGTGTGTCCGTCTCAGAAGCTCCAAAGACACAAAAGACCCATTTCAGCTGTGTCGGCCATGACTTTTTATTTATTAGTTTTTTTTGTTAACCGTGTTTTTATTCCGCCAGCTGCCACAGCACATCACTGACAACTATAGTCCAGACTTTCCAAGCTGTTCTTAAAAAAAAAAACAGTGGGACCGGGGAAGCTGATATTCAATTTAGAGAAATACTGACGTTTTTGCTCCATTTTGACAGTGATTGTAATTTTTCAACAACAACAAAAAAAAGAAGCCTTTGAAGAGAATAATGAAAGCAGTGAAGAATTTTAAGGGAAATTTGTCCCAACCACTTAGTAGCTGAATCCGAACACACTCTCTCTCTCACGCACGCACACACACACACACACACACACACACACACACAGTGAATTTGTGTTGGCGGTTGGGAACCAGGCGGGCTCTGAATGAGCGCCTGATTAGACTCCATTCTGCCGGGAACCAAGTGGATGCTGAGCTGTGTGGGTAATAACCGCTCTTCAAGTAGCTTACACACAAAGTCATTTCACCTTTGCACCGTCGTGCTTTAATAAGAACATTTTGCCTGCAGAAAATCACAGCCAGAAAATGTAGTTTAACTGTAACAAAACAAAAAGAAGCTTTTAAGAGTTTTTCTTCCTCTTTTGTCCTGGAACAGGTTTCCTTTCTCTAGTCTTTTAAACTAATTCTAACTCCTCTGCGTGATGATTTCATGATGAGAACTGAAGGCCTTTCAGCTCGTTTTTGGACAGAAGGTGATGAGAACCGCCAGGTTTGCAGCCATCGTTGAAGTTGTGCGTCCAGCTGAGTGGATCGAACAGATGAAAGCCTCAAATTTACGCGACCAAGTTCACCACTGATAAACTTTAACGCCAAACAAGCAACTTCTGCCAACTGCAGCTGGATTTGAGTTCTGAAGAAACTGCTGGGAAGTGATTAGCGGCCTTCGAGTCCGTTTTATCTTTCACAGGCGAGACAGTCTCACTTCTTACTACCTCTGCTTCACTGAATTTTAATTGCCAGACAGCAAGAAAAAAACACTTTAAATTTGCTTGGAACCCATACACACACATGAACACACACATACGCACACACACACTCTTTATTCCGCATTTCTCAGTTGAACGGTCTGAAAGTTGACTTTATTTTTTTCTTTGAGATGAGTATTCATGTTAAGTTGTGACATCTCTGCTCACAATACGCCCTGAAGTGAAGAATCCAGAAAAAAAAGTCAAATTATTCTTGAAGATAAAAGGAAACCTTCGGCACAGCTGCACAAAAGCTTTTTCTAACCAAATCTCGTATTATGAATCAAGCCGGAATAAAGCCACTGACAGCAGCACAAACATACCAGGTGACTTTAGAAACGTGCCAAAAGTCTGATCGAAGTGAAAAGAGTCCTGTATGAAATACAATTATTCCCTTTTCCGTTTTTTTTTTTTTTAAACGAGTGGAAAATACAAAAGCTCATGCACAAAAAAAATTACGCATCTCTGTCAAAGAAACCACATCATCACTATGTCAAATTAAATAATTCTGTTTGAAAATCAGCCGTACCCAAATGTACCGGACACGCACGTGCATGGATTAAAATGTCCGTGTAAAGAAGATAAACACAACTCCACATCAGGTTGTTAAAAAAAAGCTCCTTTTACAACGTGTCAAACAGGATGAGTGGTTGTTGTTTTTAGTTTGGTTCATTAATATTCAGCAGCTGCCGTTCCATAATCAGATTTCCTCACATCGGGCGGATGGAAATACTTGGATTTATGTGTGTAGACTAAATAAAACGGGGGCATTTTTATGAAAAAAATGCTAATGGCCTGGTTCCATTTATGCAAATATTTGTTTTCTAGTTTCCTCTGCCCTCTGTGGTGGTAATAAATGAATATCTGAATGTGAAAAAAAAAGACTCTTGGTCAGACCACTGGGAGTTTTTGATGGGCTTTTTCTGGGGTTAAAAAAAAGCCAAAGCTACTTTTAACAGGAACCTGCTCCTCCGGCAGACTCTTCCCTCCAACATTAAGTACAGAACCCTCAGAAGCAGGAAAAAGATTTTCCAGTTTTAGACGTCAGTCGTAACGTTCCAAGTCTGGATCATCCCTTAAAAAAGACGTCTGTTCGTTTGCAGGAGGAGTCGGGTCATGTCGAACACTTCACATTAAGTCTTTGAATTCACCAGCTTCCTTTGGATGTTCCGACGTAAAAAGATGCAACCTGATGTTCTAAAATTCCCCATCCCATCAGCACAGCCCGAGTCCGAAATTTAAAGAAAAGCTCCGAAACGACCAAAGCCACAGAGAGACGTTTAAACAGCCCAAACTAAACGTTTCAGCCACATTTGATTCACTTGTCATGTGAGACTTTGGCACCAATATCAGCACTAAAGGAGAGTTTAAGGAACAATCTATATCTTTTTTTAATTGTTATTAATAACAGCGAATTTCAAATCATTTTAACTTCCATTTTCAGGATAAGACCATGAACTTTAACAGCAAGAAGTATGTTAATTTTTCCAGGACTTTGCAGCTCTGGCGGTAATGAGAGCACGCGGGCTCCGTCTGACCTGGAGTTTCCTCACACAGCTCCCACAGAACGCAGGATTAATATCTCTGTGAAATAACCTACATGATTGCTGCTATTATCCTCCATTATCAGCTTACTAATGGATACTGCTCGCCTTGATCAGCTGTCACTCAGTGAGGGTGCAGACTATTCAAGGCAGGACAGGGAATGAATCACCCAGCTGCTTTTCTTTAGCAGCCGGACCTGAATGTCCCGTCCAGAGTGATTGACTGGACGCCGTCTTCTTGTAACAGACCGGGGTGAAAAGGGGGTCAAAAGAACTTCGTCTGAGTTTAAAACCAACTCGCTTTTCTTTTTGGTAGCTTTAGAAAGTTCTTTTTTCCTAAGAGGAAAAAGAATGTAGCAGCTGTTTGAATACTTATTTGAATAGCAAATAAAAAATGAATCAGAACTAGAAATAAGATGAGATCATTAACCCGGCTCTGCTTTGCTTTCAGGAACATTTTTCAAATGTTCTTTTTCGTGCTTGTACTCAAAAGGATATAGAAAAGATTTAGACAAAGCATTAAAAACGAGCCAGCAAGTGAAAATCTAATATTAAAGTGTAACATTTCAATTAATTTGGCTTTAATGAAGTGCCTTCTCGGTGTGTTAAAGCTTTGAAATACAGAAAAGAATTGGGCCTTTCAGGGCTAAAACTAAATCAAATAGGTTCCATTTAAGACCAAACGTCAGTGTGAAGACTATTTGAAATCTAAAGCCTCTGTGTGGGTTTTTTCTGATCGTATCAGCTGACCTCTCACCACATGTGGCGCTAAATGACCACAGCTGTTTGCGTGTAACTGCGCCCCCAGCGGCGCCCAGAGGAAATGCACGTGGTGCATTTAAAACATCCCGTAATTTACAGTTGCTCAGCAGGTGCTGGTGGCCCATTTTCTAACAACCATGGCGGTTTCAAGAAAAACTGTTTCATTCTACAGTCCCGTGGCACTAATCGTAACACACGCAAACTAGTTTCCTTTTTTGTCACTTTTAATAATAGGTTCTAAAACCCTGGTTTCTTATATCTACTTTATCTGATCCCTGAGTTCATGTAAATAAGTATCGCATTTATGTTTAAACAGGGTGTTGCATTTCTCTCAGAAATTGCATAAATAATGACTATTCCATATATATATGTTTTCAGAATAAAAAGTAAACTGTTAAAGGGAACCATGTACATTCAAGCTGTTTCTCAGTATAACAGACACATTATTCTTTTTCTTCTTTCCTTACATTAATCTTTCATAGAGTAAACCTTTTTTCCCTTGTTATCAGTCATGTGGAGTTCTCCTTTAGAGCAACAACTTGTATGGAAGCATCCAAAAATTATTAAAAGCATTATTTGTGCATTATTAATAGTTCATTTTTTTATTCCTTTAAGTTGTATTTTGGTAGATCTGAGATTTGTTTTGATAGACTTTTTTTAATTTAATTTCCACTACAATTCTTCGAGGTTGGATGAAGTGTAGCACCTTCTGAGGAGAAAAACCCCCTTTATCCTCAGTATTTCTGACATCACTAGAAAAACAAGACTGAAAAAAGTGCGGAGCCATAAACTATTGCTGGCATTTCTTAAAGCCTTGTTGATGCTAAATCAATGAACTTGGAAGATAATAAGTAGTTTCTACTTTAAAGAGTACTACGTCTTCAAAGAAAAGAAGGCGTTGGGAAAACTTTGGCTTTGACCAGCCTCCCTGTGAGGACACCGGAAGGCTTCTGAGAGGTGGAGAACAGAAACCAGACCCGGACAGGAAAACACCAAAGCAAAAAGCAGAAGCTTTCCGTTTACAGTTCAGCTCATCTGGGCCGAAACGCACTAAAACTGTCCCGTTTGTCTCTAGAGTTCAGTTGTTTCCGGTCAGATGCGTGGGTTTTGTGCCTAAAAGCCGTGGTCATGTGCACGTCCTGCTGAGAGGACAGACGGACAGCACTGCCCCCCCCCCCCCGGACCCACAGCGACACACTGACCTCTGTCCAGAGGCCGAGGCTTCCCACCCTGTAGTTCACCACCGAAGACGTCTTTTGGATGAGAGCTGAAACTTCCCAGAGGTCCAAGAAGTCCAGTTCCCTCTGGAGAAGGACAGGCCACCGCCACCTGCACAACCCGGAAACACTCAAACAGAAAAAGATGGTTTTCCCCTCAGACATGCGAGGTCCTTTGGCCTGTTGATCAACACTTAATAATGCCAATGAATTGTTTTTTATAAAGAATAATTAATAAAAATGACAATTGCTAAGAAAATATATTATTTATAAAAGTAATAATATAAATAATTGTTTTTCTTTTTTCAAGACTGAAACTTCTTTTCCTAAAAAGTAAGAATATTGGTAGCAAATAAACAGTAATTGAGAGTAATTTTTGGTCAAATACAAACTAAATATTACATTGATATTAGGTGCTAAAAAAGTCAAAAAAGGAAGTTCCTCATAAGACAACACACAACAATAGCTTGTCACTGCGTTTCATTCAAACCTTTTCAGCAAATGCAGCTGTGAGGAGGTTCACAACACACAGACTTTTTACCATTCTTTTTTTTAGTTTTTCTTAATCACTTATCTTCTTACACCTGAGGATCTGTCTTGAATTTCTCTGCAAAGGCGTTCTGAACCCCAAATGGCTCCTCGTCCATTCAGGGAAACACGGCTGCACCCGGAAAACAAACTGAAAGGAAACCTTGATATCTGATCATTCACGGCCTTCGAATGGCCCTAAAATGTCTCATTTCTATATCAAAGACCACCTGATTCCAGCAGAGGAAACAATGTTTTATACACAAAAAAAGAAAACATTTCATGAACTCTGAGCCAAAGGCGAGCGTTTTTTCTTAATGTTTATTAATTGATGCAACATTCCTGCATTTATTTTTCCAACCATCTATTTCAAATAAACCCGCCATATAATAAAATCAGAGCAAATTACATTTAAAACTTGTTACATAATTGGTTTTACAGTTAAAAAAACAAAAAAAAACATCAGCGATGTCTTCCAAACCCTTCAATGTACAATCAGAGAGAGCAGAGTTCTGTTTAAAGAACCGAGCAGTGGGACATTTCTGACCAGAAAGGGAAAGAAAATGTGAATCTCCAATCTGTGGACCCTCAGAACCTCTAATCTGTGGCCCACAAGCGTAGGTTGTGATGCACTCCGGCAGCCCCCGTTACTCAGCTGCTTTGTGTAAGTTTCTACACACCAAGTGTCAGTTATCAGACTCTCAGAGGAGCACGTCTGACTCAACTCGCCGGTGTTGGGTGGTTGGCGTCCGATCGGGTGTTTTCGGGTGTTCGCCTTTGAGCAGGAGGACTCCACGCAGCCTGCTTTCAGAGCTGGTTAGAACTGTACAACAACGAACCTGTACAAATGTACAAAAAAACCCCCACCAGGAATAAAAATACACCGAGACTTAATGTAAAAGCTCCAGAGTGACGGTGGATCTGAGAGTAGGCGGGAACCGGCTGGATCGGAGTCCCTGTGCCGACTTTAAGTGCAATCCACAGCCAACCTGAGGTCGGACTTTGTGCTTCTGGGACACTGAACTCGTCTCTTCCATCAGCACCTCCGCCACAGACAGTATAAAGGACAGATAGTTAGTGATCATCGACCTGTTAAGTTTCTCTAATCACCTGGGCCGCTGTTGGTCGAGCAACATGAACCTCGACAACCACTTTCACCCCTCAAGATCGAAAGACTAAAATAAAAGGATCCCTTTCTTCCTCCTTTTTTTGAGCTCATTTGAGTTGCAGTTCAGACGAGGCTTTGCATAACGCCCGCAACGGAGAAGAAAAAGAAATCATCAAAACCGCTGAGGGAAAAAAAAAGCTAAAGAACACAATGATTACAGCAAGACTGCAGACAATTATCTGGAGACGCCGGTTAAAAGCATCTAAAACTATTCTCGTTCGTGAAAAAATAAAAACGTGCTTTAAAGAAGTCTTCTTCTTTTTTTCCCTTCTCGCCCCTCTGAGGAGCTTCACTCCAGAAGCCATGGAGCTCAGGTCTCTGCCTGCTGCTGCAGGTGGTCTGTCCCCGTTCCTCCCAGGAGCCCTTTTCAGTTCCCGGTCCCGCCGCTGATCACATGACCCGCCCATCACGCGGGGGGTTGTCATGTGATCAGCAGGCAGCGCTTCTCATAGGAAGCCTCTGCAGCTTAGAAGAAAGAAAAGCAAAAAAAAAAAAGGAGGAAGGAACTTGCAGAGGAGTCAGGAGGAGGTGCGTTTGTTTCACCGTGCCCGTCTGACCTCGGGGCGGCGCAGGGGGGCGGAGCCGCCGGCAGGAAGACGACACACTGGTTTCCTGACTTTCGTTCCAGAAGACCACCTCTGCCACTCCACATGAGCCCGGCCGTGCACCGCACACACTACAAACACACAACAGGGCCCTTCCACTTCCTCATTATTGCATTTAAGAAACACGCACTTGAGTTGAACTCCACACAGACTAATTCTCTCTCATGTTCAAACACCAACAGGATATTAGACTTTGAAACAGCAAAGTGGATCAGAACAGACAAAAAAACAAAACAAAAAAAAGCCCAACCAGGTATGAGGGAAACTGAACCTACTCCAAATGAAGCTTAAAGCTATTGCCTAACCCCGCCCCCCCCCCGGTTGGTTTCCATTGTACTCCGCCTTTGAGAGGAAACTAAATCCAGGTTCCAGGAATTTGCAGGTGGGAGCCACACACAAACACACCCCTCACCAGACCCAGACGTGTGTCGGGGTCTGGCCTTAGAAAGCCTCCCCCCCCTCATCGTCTAGGCAACCCGAGGACCTTCTGGAACCACCAGAGACACCTGCCTTTCTAAGGCCGGATGGCTGCTTAACGTGCCTGTCCAGCATTTCTACGGCCGTGGGTCAGCCCCCCGTGGCGCCAGGGGGGGCGGTCACCTCCCGGCTCCCCTGTGAGCCGCAGACACACAAAACCACACATCCACTGTAATGTGTCCCAGAGTCGACCTATCATGAAGTTCCTGTTTCTTTAACAGACTCCTTTTTTTTTTTAATGACCACCTCTTCCTTTTAGCTACATCTTCAAGAAGGCACTACGTGACTGTAAAGGCCGGGGTTGAGTTACTGTGTTTATTCGTCTTTTGTGTTGAGATTCAAAACTCATTTGAGCGTTAGTTGATTTGTCAGAAGCAACTATGTTAGGTCAACGAGAAAATCTGTTGGTTTTGCATATCCACATGTAGCTAATAATAACAAATAAGAAAAAGTTAGCAAGAGCAAAAGAGCATTTTGCTGAGAAATCTTTTTAAAAAACTAGGGAAGAAATCTGCCAGAATCCATTCCAACAGACTCCTGCCTGGTGTTGTATCTGAGGGACAGAGGAGGCAGAGGAAATAGCCGGAAGATTTTTAGTTTCCCTGAAGACGTTGTAAACAATCACCTTGTATTAGTTCATGGACAGAAAAGACGTGCGACTTGAGAAAAAGGAGAAAAGTAATTAACTTAAGAGGGCAGCCGAGGAGAAGCCTCATTAGCACCTTTGTTTCTTGTAGTGACTAATTGCAGCCTAGTTTAGAGGCATGAGAGGAGGCGGGCTGAGCAGAGTGGCTGTGGTGAACAGTCACGCTTAATCCCAGACTCTGCTCCTCATCCCGCCACGTCCCCATCTTACTGATTAATCACTGTGTTCGTGTAAATATTTATTCCCGCTGGAATTAGAGATAAGGAAAAATAGACATTGAGGCTCGTAGAAAATACTTGTAATCCAGAGCGGGTGAGTGAAGGAGCCCTCGGAGGTGGAAGTCTTCTCACAGCGAATCA